AAATGGGAAGCCACAGACACCTCACTGTTTTCTGTGAAGGGACTGGGTCTGCTCAGTTGCTTAGGGCCTTGCTAAGTTGCTAAGGCTGGCTTTGAATTGCAGACCCCTGCTTTACTGTTTTTGTTTGATACTTTTGTAAAGTTTTTCCCCATTGGGAGCAAAGTAATAAGTACCAACCCATCAATTAAGATGGGTCCCTAGAGCTGCTGATGGATGCGGGAATACTTCCCACAGATTGGAGCTTCCTTTTTCCTATTGACTATATTTAAACAACATTAATAATGTATCTGCTAGTTTTTATGTGGATCAGAAATGCCTATTAATGGAATGTGTTTGTTATAGCAGGAGCAAAAGGTAAATTAAAAGACAGGTTTCTTTGTAAGGCCATTGGTGAAACCTTTCCATGCTGTGGCTGTCCCATGCTTGTCTCTGGACTACCAGGGTACACGAGGCTCTGAAGGAAGGCCCGGTCATCTTGTAATGACTTTTGTGCACTAGGACAGATTCAAATCTACCTCCAGGCCTTCCCTGTCCTTTGAGGTGGAAAATAGAGTTTACTAGGCAGAAGTAACATCTGAACATCCGTCCAAGACCTTGGGGTGGGACAAGGCCTTGGCACCACTGTGGTTTTTACTAGAGGCTGAGCAGAGCAAGATGGTCCCAGGAGTAGGTCCAAACCACACAGAACAATAGATTAAAAATGTCAGCAAGTCATAGGAGCAAGTGAGATGATATAGAAAGGCCCTTTAGAAATCCATTTTGTAATTATTTTGCATCACATATACCTTAAATCACCCCACCAGTCAAAGGCTCATGAACAAGATGAGAATGGTTTGCTCACTGCTAATCCCTTCCTTTACTTCAGGTGACAGCACTCATCCTAGTAAGGCAGGGTGTGTGTTCTGGGGAGGGAGGTGACGTGAAGGGGTGGTGAGGCAGGGACAGGGCTCTGATTACTTTGATGACTGACAATGCACCCCTGTCTCCTGCCCCTACAGTGAAGTTTATAGGCTTGAATTTAGTTCCTGGCATACCAGGATGGTGCTCCTGGCCCTTGTGTCAGTGGGAACCACTGCAGAAGGTGCCCATTTTCTTGACTGACCTTCTCTTCTCAAAGAATTGAGTCATTTCCTTCCAAGGAGCACTATGTGACAGGATAGGAAGAGGGGTGTGCAGGATCCTGGCCCCAGCAGAGGCCTCCCTCACAGCGATAGGGTGGATGCATGCACTACACACTCTGTGTCCTCCAGAAGAAGCCATAGTTCCTAGAGGACATGCTGAAAGCCCCAGTGACTGGCCAGGAGATCCCTGGACCTTGTTTCGGCAGGTGTGAAGTGGCTTTGCCGTGACCTCTGGCTCTCTCACAGAGTGAGTGAAGAGAGGCGATGTGGAAACTATAAAGCATCATGCTCATGGTAACAATGGAGGCGATTGCTTGGACTATGGAGCCAGATTTCCTGGATCCAGTTCTGGCACAGATGCTTACTAAGGGTGTGGATTGTGGGCACATCTGACCTCTTAGGATAGGTCAGGGTAATGACAGTACCAACCACAGAAGTGGTCATGAGAATTAAATAGGTCCCTCCATGTAAGGCATTTAGAGCAGAACTCTGCAACCAGCGAGCACTAAGAAGTGTTCACTGTGGTAATAGTTATGAAGGTCATGTCCATCAGGCACTATGAGGCTCTAAGACTTGACATGGGGCTAGGCAGAATCAAGGAAAATGCACTCAAAAGTAGCAGCCAATTTTCTCTCACAGGGAGAATTCATCTTGATTTTGGAAATGTCCTTGACTCAGAGTTTTAATGATGCAAATGTAAAAAGCAAAGGGGTGTCACGGGCTTGTTTCCCCAGATGCTCTGGAGACTGGACAGGGGGATTGCTGGAGCCCAGGAGTTCAAGGGCAGTTTGGGTTAACAGCAAGATCTTGTCTCAAAAAAAAAAAACAAAAAAAAAACCCAAAACCCTCTTCTCCTCTACTCTCTTTTTAGGTATATTGGGATGGTGAGTTAGCTCCAGCCACGTGAAGATAAAATACAGATACTCTGGGTATAGCTTGTACACATTTTTCACACCCACAGAAATATATTCCATGTCATAATGTCACAGACAGACAGTCTTGAAACAAAAACTTTACTAAATAATGCCTATCCTCATTTCTTAAACATGCTCTAATTTTTAAAAATTCTAGTTGTAACCTAGCAAATCAATGTTGTGACTCACCAGGAAATCTTGGACATAGTCTAACCAGCTGTGTTGTCAGGGACCCCCACAAGGAGGCAGCTCGTTCTCCTCGGATGCCATTCATGCAATCTCTAAAGCTTTGCAGGAAGTTGCAGGTTAGCGTGGGAGTTCAGGGAGGTCCACCTACCTGGAGGACAAGTAAGAGCACAGCCCTTTCTCCAAAGCCAGAGTGGCAGCTGTGACAGGCTAAGAGGTTAGTATCTGGCATTCCAGCCTCTCCAGCAGCACACAGTATGAGCTCAGTAAAGGTTTGAGTAACCAAGAACAGAAGAGGTTCTTGGACTGGGGCTCAGTTCCCTCAGAGCCTCAGTTACCCCTCTGGTCTCTGGAGACCCCTCCACAGAACAAACCAGCTCTGGTCACAAAACCTGCAGCTCCCTTTGGGGAGTGGAGAGACTCAATGAAGTGCCATTCTCTGTGCCACTTGTACAAGAGTGGTCCTGTGGGGTGCTTTCCAGCCTCTGGAGTGCTTCCCGAGAGCCTGGAGTGGTGGTGAATGCCTGTAATCTCAGTGACTCAGGAGGATTGAAAGTTTGAGTCCAGCCTTGGCAACTTATCCAGATCCTGTTTCAAAATAAAAAAATAAAAAGAGCTGAGGATGCGGCTCAGTGGTAAAGTGCTTCTGGGTTCAATCCCCAGTACCAGCCTCTGGAGTGCTTCTCTAGGCCAGATGCAACTCAGGGGACTCCTGCCAGCTTGGAAGGTCTATCTTCCTCTTTGCCTTATCCTGCAGCAGTGTCCTCAGGTTCATAAGGAGTGATGTGACTGCATGGAAGCTGCTTTTCCCCCGAGGGTTGGAGAGCCACATGGGGGAGGGTTGAGGGAGAGGCTGGCAGCTTTCCCTGTCATGACTGGGACAGGGTGGCAGTTCCAAAAGCCCTCTCTATTAAAAAAAAAAAAAAAAAGAGGCTGGGTTTATTCATTCATTCAACAAATATGTACAGAACAATAATGTGGCAAGCACAGGGGTGAGCATGGGATACACAGATGTCCAAAGGCAAGGTCACTTCCCTACTGGAGCTTCTCATGGGGGGGTGGGGGGACACAGTCAATAAGTTAATGAGATCATCTCTGATAATGACAAGTGTTTTATGGGAATAAGATAGGGTAATGGGGGGGGGGGCTGGGGTTGTGGCTCAGCAGTAGAGCGCTCGCCTAGCACATGTGAGGTCCTGGGTTCGATCCTCAGTACCACATAAAAATAAATAAAGATATTGTGTCCAACTAAAATAATAAATATTTTTTTTTTTAAAAAAGATGGGTAATGGGGTAGAAAGTGATTTGGGCCAAGTGTGGTGGCCCACACCTATAATCCAGGCTACTTGGGAGACTGAGGAAAGAGGATTGCAAGTTTGAGGCCTTTGAGGCCAGCCTGCGCAATTTAGGCTATCTCAAAAAGTAAAAAGGACTGGGGATATAATGCAATGGTAAAGCATTCCTGGGTTCAATTTCCCAGTACAAGGGGGAGGGGTTTGGGGGTGAGGGCAAGGACTACTTTTGGTGTATTTGGTGTATGATCATAAAAATAAACATTTTTGAAGAAATGGCATTTGTGTTGAAATTGATGAAAGGAATTAAAGATCCATGCTTACCAAATAACAACTGGGAGCAAGACACAGATCTGCAGGTCTCATCCTAGACTTAGTGAATGAAAAAATTTAAGGGCAGGACCCAGGAATTTGCCTTTTTCTTCTCTAAAGGATTCCATGCGTGCTAAAATTGGAGAACTTCTCCCCTGGGTCTTTTGAGAGGATCACACCTTTTTGGGAGGATCACACCCTGTGAGCTTTAGGGTTCCTTCCTACTCCCAGACCTTCCAGTTCCAGGAAGGGAGCTTCTAATTTAGGGGAAGAGGCTAGTGATAAGGAGAGGAGCTGTGGTCATGTTAACGCTGTTTACTGGTGAGGAGTTCTTGCTTCCCCAATGCTGAAGTATAACACCAGAGAAGCACGCCGAGGCAAATTATTATTAAATTATTTAATTATTATTAAATTATTAAAGGACAGCAGAAAAGACTTCTCCCGGAGGAAGAAGGGGACCCAAGAGGTGGAATCCGTGGAAAGGGGAGATCTTCCCTCTTTTATAGCTAAGGTCTATCTTTCAGCTTTCCTGCATTTCTGTTGATGTTCCTGTCCTTTGTTCTGTTATCTTGCAGTGACAGAATGTAGGTGGGAGACCCAAAAGGTGAGGGGCAGATGGGCCAGAGAAGTAAATAAATAAAGGGTAAAGGCACTGTGTCCAACTACAATGAAAAAATAAATATTAAAAAATAAAATATAAGAAAGAGCTGGAGGTCTAACTCAGTGATAGAGCACCCCTGGGTTCAATCCCCATTTCCAAAAAATAAAAATAAAAAAAAATACGCGTTCCTATTTTCATCTCTTCTCACTCCTGCCCAGCCGCCAGCATCACAGGGCGGTACTGTGAACTCTTGAGGGCCCTCCCAGACCAGTGGCTGGGGAGGACGGCCGGTGGTGTCAGGCGGTTGCAAGGTCGCATTTGGAGGTTCTAGGCTGGCCGCAGCCCAGCTCAACGCCGTGGCTTTCCAAACCCTGCAGGTACCCAACGGCGCGCCTCGCGCTCTACGCCCAGCAGCCCAAGCACACGCTTGCCCATGCGGGTTGGAGCTGCGCGTCCTCGGGCTGCGGCAGCGCGGACGCAGAGCTCACCGCCGGCCTACCAGCAGCGGGCGGCGGCGGCTCCCATGCGGCACACGTGGGGCTGGGCGCTCCGGAAGCCCCGGTGAGCCGGCGGCATGGGGCAGGCGGGCTGGAAGGGGCTCTGCCTGTCGCTGTTCGACTACAAGACCGAAAAGTATGTGATCGCCAAGAACAAGAAGGTGGGATTGCTCTACAGACTGCTGCAGCTCTCCATCCTGTTGTACCTGGTCGTGTGAGTTCCTAGACGCTTTCGGGAAGCTGGGGGAGGGGCGGGGACAGGACTCAGCTGGGAGGATGGAGAACAGTAGCCAGGGTCTTCTCCAGGGTCCTGGAATTTGCACGTGTGCACGTGGCTTTCCCTGTGCTCCCTGCCTGCGGAGAGGCCGACCTTGGGCTCTTGTGGGTAAAAGGTAGCCCTCTACTCCCCTGCCTGCTCTGGAAGTGAGGAGATGTGGGCTGGGGCTTCTGGGTCCCTGGGTTTATGAGACTGTCCACCGACAGCTCCTTTCCCTAGTGCTGCAGCCCCCAGTCTTAGGGCCACGGGAAGGGGGCAGGGATGCAGGGGGCTGGGCTGTGGCTTTCTTCCCAGAGGCCTCCCTGGGCCCTGGCCTGACAGCTGGCCCAAGCATCAGGCAAGTTATTTTTAATCACTGAGCGTCAGTGTTTTACTCTGGTCTGGGGCAACTCATCAGCTTGGCATGTCCGGGAACTCCCTTCCTGTCAGCTCACCTCACCTAGCCTCTCTGGTATCCAGCTGGGGGTCTTGCCCAGAGATCTCTATACCCAAGTTCATCTGTCCCCTTCTCCCACCCCCTTCCCACTCAGCAGGAGCTGGGGCCACAAGCTCAGGGGTCAGTTCTTCAGGGTTGCTCATCAGGCACTGTTCAGAGTCTTCACCCCTGACTGACAGGAGGGAACAGGTGGAGAGAGAGAGCAGTCATGGATAACTGGAATGTGCCTTCTCGAACTCATTCAGTAAATGCTGTGCAGTTTCTCCCATTTCCTCCTCGGGGGCTACAGCCCTGGCCTTGCCCTACTCAGTCCTAGAGGTCAAGCACTCAGCTTTTCCTGAACTTCATCCCCAAGGCACCTGGATGCCTCCCACCTCAGGGCTGTTGTACATGCTATTCCTTAGCCAGGCATGCTTTTCCTCCTTAGTTAGTACTCACTCATTCTCCAGACCTGGGTTCTTGAATTACTCCCTCTCCTTTCCTCCCTGGCATTCTTATGGTATAATTAGCAGCTAATTTAGGGGAACAGTTGTTTCAGTATCTATTTCTGACTCCCTGCCAGTCTGGGGATGCCATGAGGGTAGTAGGGCCTGGCATCACCTCACTAGGGAACAGGTGTGAAATGAATGAGTGAATGAATGAAAATGTGTTTTGAGTGTTTGCTTCATGTTTCTGTCCAGGCCAGGCCAAGGGTGTCCTTATTAAAATGATTGGTTGGCTCAGGGGGGTCATAGCCCTCTCAGAATTCCTTAGAGACGTGGCAGCCTAGAATCCAGGGCACCCTAGCTCTGTCCCAGAGGTGAGATGAATGCATGTACATTGGCGTTTGCCACACTGAGAACCTTCACTGGGACCCTGGGACCCACCACTTACTGCATGTAAGCGGTAGCGGCTTCCTGCTCCCTCAACCTCAATTGCCCCAACTTTACCAAGAGGGGTCAACCTGAACTGTCTCTACCAGCAACAGCAACAAGTGATGAGTTCTATTCATTGGGTTCTTCTTCTGTGCCAGACACTGTGCTCAGCAATTTATATGTTCTATCTCATTTGTGTTTATATGGATGAGCCACATTTTGCTTATCCATTCACCAGTTAATGATATTTGGATTGTTTCCACTCTTTGGCTGATAAGAATAATGCTGCTAATAATATTCTTGCACAGTTTTTTTTATAGACTATGTGTTTTGGGTTCTCTTGGGTATATACTTAGGAGTGAAGTTCCACGGTCATTGTAACTCCCTTTTTAACCTCTTGAGGAACTTCCTACAGTGGCTACATCATTTTACATTCCCACCAGTAACATATTGAAGGTTCTTATTCCTCTACATCCTCACCAACACGTGTTTTTTTTTTTTTTTTTAGTTTTTTAAAATTATTATTTTTAGTGTGAAGTGGAATCTCGTATTGTGGTTTTTATTTATGTTTTCCTAATTTATCTTTTTTGAGGGTGATGTCTAATCAAATGTTTTTAAACATTTTTATGTTCAAAATGTTTTTAAACCCATTTTTAAATTGGGTTGTCTTTTTAATTGCTGAATTGTAAGAGTTATTTATATATTCTAAATACTAGTCCTTTACCAGGTATATGACTTACAAACATCTTCTCCCATTCTGTGGGTTGTCTTTTCACTTTCTTGATAATGTCTTTTGATGTGCAAAAGTTTTTAATTTTTAAAAATTTGGTACCAGGGATTGAATTTAAGGATGCTTAACCACTGAGCCACATTCCCAGCCCATTTTATTTTTTATTTTGGACAGGGACTAAGTTGCTTAGGGTCTCTCTAGGTTGCCAAGACTGGCTTGAACTTGTGATCCTTCTGCCTCAGTCTCCCAGGTTGCTGGGATTATAGGCATGTGCCACTGTGCCCAGCAAAAGTTTTCAATTTTGATGAAGCCCTACTTATCTATTTTTTTTTTCTGCTTATGTTTCTGGTTCAAAGAATACAGGATTTTGTGCTCTTATTTCCTAGATTAGTTTCAGGTTATGCACTATCTCATTTAACCCTCTCTTTTATCCCTGACGGGAGGCATTATTATCCCTGTGTTACCTTGGGAAACCAGTGCTCCCAGAGTGAATGGCCTTGCCTGGAGTCACAGCCTGTATGAGGCTGAGCAGATTTCAGCCCAGGCTTGCCCTGCTCTGGGGCCTCAGCACCTGAGAGCAGTGGTTTTTGCCTCTTTAGAATTCCTTCCTTTGGGGTTGCTTGTCACCTCTGCTGCTTGCAGGACTGAGTTTTAGGCAACCATGGGAGCTGTGAGCCCTACCCAGGAGCTGTTGGAACAGGTGGAGCCCTAGGAGTTGCTGTGATGCCCATTCCAGCCTGGACTTGGGCAAACATCCCTGAAGGCAGTGATGTGGCTGACACCCTCCTGCTGTTCCCCTTCCCACAGGTGGGTGTTTGTGGTGAAGAAGAGTTACCAAGATGTTGACACCTCCCTGCAGAGCGCTGTTGTCACCAAAGTCAAGGGCGTGGCCTATACCAACACCTCTGAGCTTGGGGAGCGGCTCTGGGATGTTGCTGATTATGTCATTCCACCCCAGGTCTGAAGCCCTGCTTATCACTGGGGCCCCAGGCAGGCAGGCCCTGGTTCAGGGTGTGTCACATGGGAAGCTGCTGGTTTGTCCCAGGAACTCCATCCATTGTCTCCTTCACCCAGCTAGAGACCCTGTCCAGATCCTTTTCCCATGCCAATCCCCTGCCTTCGTTTTCTGTGCCTTGTGTGAGTGCTCTCTTCCCAGTGAACTCTGAGTCTGTTGAGACCAAAGGGGGCCCAGAAAACCTTCAGGTCATTGTGAGTCAGGAGGCCCAGCACAGAGAACCCCTGTTTTACATGCTACTACCCTGGGAACAGCTCCTCAGCCTATTCACAATTGTCATGGCCTAGGGCCAGGGCAACCCCATTACTGCCTCTGCTCCTCTGAGGTCTGGGCTTGGACCCCAGTGGCTGAGTTTAGAATAGGGATTCATGGGCAGGGCACTTGGGATTTGTGGGCCTGGGAAGGACCTCTAAAAGAACATCTTCTCAGGAACTGTAGGTCAGTGAGATGATGGATCAAATCCACCAGTTTTGTGGCCCTATTTCCTCCAACACCCATGCAGAGGCCTCACATTGCCAGGAAGCCCTGGGAAGGAGAGTCCTCCTAAGAGGGTAGGAGAAGGTTCCTCAATGCCTTTCTGGCTCCTCAGGGAGACAGTGTCTTCGTTGTGATCACCAACCTGATTGTGACTACCAACCAGCGGCAGGGCACCTGTGCTGAGGTTCGATTTGGTGTGGGGAGTGGGGAGGGGTGGGATTGTGATGGGGTGGACCCCTCTCCTGAAGCAGGGGCTTCTGTGTGCTCTGAGGATCCTTGTGGGCTGTATGCCCTGGTGAACAGTGTCTGCATAGTTTGGGGAAGAAACAGATTCTCAGAGGGTGTGTGGGCCCAGGCCAGGGAAGAAGACCTCTTCTAACCCCTGGTGGGCCCCAATGAGGCCATCCTTATGCAGCGCCTTTCTCTTTTGGCAGTATGAAGGTGTCCCTGATGGTTTGTGTTCTCAGGACCATGACTGCCAAGCTGGGGAGACTGTTATAGCTGGAAATGGTGAGGGCTTGGCATGGTCAGGGGAGGTGGGGGTGAGGGGGACCTGGAGCTGAGAGGCTCCTGGCATCATCCCTGTCCCACCCTGCAGGAGTGAAAACTGGCCGCTGTCTGCGTGTGGGGAACTCAACCAGGGGCACCTGTGAGATCTTCGCCTGGTGCCCAGTGGAGACACAGTCCATGCCAATGTGAGTGGCTCCAGCCTCTGTCCCTTGAGGAGTTGCCGGGTCCCATGCTGTGGGTCCAGCTTGGATGGAGACACGTCCCCTCTGAGATTCTCGTTCTGAGGGAGATGTCAGGACATCCCAGAGAAGCCTGAGGACCATCCCAACTGAGCAAATTAACTGTCTTTGGCAAAATCTCCAGGGGACCCAGGGAACAGGTCTCAGCCCTGCCACAGGCCTAGGGAGGCTTGGAGGGGCCATGGCAGGGCCTTCTGCTCAGTCGGTCCTGGACTGTTTTCAGGGAACCATTCCTGAAGGAAGCTGAAGATTTCACCATTTACATAAAGAACTTCATTCGTTTCCCCAAATTCAACTTCTCCAAGTATGTGGGGCTTGGCCATGGGCAGGGGGTGTTCATGGGGTGGGGCCTTAACTCAAGCCCTCTGAAGGCCTTGGTTGGCCCTCCCCGTGGCTGTGCATGGGCCTTTGTGCACACGGTGTCTGCATATGAATGAACTTCAGGGTGATGTTGGGGCTCCTGTATGCCTGCTATGGGGGTGGGCTCTGTTCTTGACTGGAGTGGGGTAGGAGCTGGGGAGTGGTCAGTTCAGGCAGGAGCCCACTGACTCTTGGGTCAGGCCCAGGAACAGTGAGTCTCACTCATTCTTATTCCACTGCTTTCACCCAGGGCCAATGTGCAGGAGGACACGAATTTCCTGAAATCCTGTCGCTTTAGCCCCAAGAATCTTTACTGCCCCATCTTCCGACTGGGGTCTGTGATCCGCTGGGCGGGGAGTGACTTCCAGGACATAGCCATGAAGGTGGGTGGTACATGATCAGGGAGCCTTCTATAGGGGCCCGGGACCACATGAAGCAGGTGTGGAGGGGGACCTATAGGTCGGGAATGACCCTGCAAAGTCACCTGCCTCCATGAGCTCACTGTTTTCAGAATTAGCTGTGCCCGGCTTGGGCCAGAGTCTGGTGCTCATGAGGGGCAGACTTGCCCCTGTGGCATAGTTCTCAGCCTCTGGGCCTTTGGGCGAAAGGGAGTCAGAAAGAGTCCCGTGGGCACATCCTGGCCATGTGTAAAGTGCCTGTCTATGAAAGCTGCTCTCTCTGGATTGTTAGCCCCTTTCTTTCCTGAACAGTTAAGAGAGTCCATACTGTAGCTATAGCAATGTGACATTCTCAGCCATTCTGTTCCAGAGGTGGGGATAGAACCTCCCTGGAGGGCTGTCCCCAGGACTGACCTCTAGCCTGAGCCCTTTATCTGTTTTGTCCAGCTCTCTATATGTGACTTCTGTCCCTCTCCAGAAGGCTCTGGGTATTGAGCCTTGTCTCTTGTCTCAAGGGTGGTGTGATAGCAATTAATATTGAATGGGACTGTGATCTTGACAAAGCTGCCTCCGAGTGCAACCCTCGCTATTATTTTAGCCGCCTGGACAACAACCATGTAAAGTCTGTCTCCTCCGGGTACAACTTCAGGTAACTGTTACCTTGTGCCACCTTGTGACTCTGACCACATTTCACATCTGACCCTGGGTGCCAGCACTGTGCTACCCCTAGGATGGGTGTCAGAGTAATAGATGCAGGGAGAGATGGCCAAGGAGAGGATCCCAGCAGAGTGGTGGGGACCGTCCTGTGAGCGTATCTGTCTGGTGATACGATATGTCTTTTCTTGCCATAATACTGATAAGGCTCAACTTCTTTGCTGGATCAAATTCATCCATGTTTTGTTGGCCCAGGGGTTAACCTAGAGTGTAGTGGGAAAGCCTTGGCCCTTGGGAGAATGCCTGGCTTAGATTTCAAAGGCCTGGAAGCATCTTTTATACTTGGCTCAGTGAGAGGGTCTGCAGCCCTCTTCTAGGTCTGCTGAGAGTCAGTCTCCTGGGGGTGCTGATAAATCCCCAGAGCAACCATGGTCCATGCTGTGCTGCTAAAGAGGGAAGGCACAGGCAGGCTGGGGCTTCCCCTGGGCTTTGTCTCCCCTAGGTTTGCCAGATATTACCGAGACTCGGCCGGGGCGGAGTTCCGAACCCTGATAAAAGCCTATGGGATCCGCTTTGATGTGATAGTTAATGGCAAGGTGTGTGGGTGGTCCTCCCATTCTGTGGTTGGGTAGGGTGGGGTGTGGGAGGTTGGAGATCCCCTTGGGATCTGACCATCCATCCAGCCTTACTTGCCTGTCTTGTCTCTTGTCTTTCAGGCAGGAAAGTTCAGCATCATCCCCACAATCATCAACGTGGGCTCTGGGGTGGCGCTCATGGGTGCTGTGAGTACCTTCCTCCTCCCTCCCCACTTTCTATTCTCTGAGCAGGGAGAGGGAGGTAACTGACTGCTCAGGAGGAATGTGCCCCAGTGCCCCAGAAAGCAGGAGATGTGGTGAGATCAGAACCTACATGGGTAAAGAGGGCTCTTTGGGATTTCACACCATGCCAGCTGCCCCCAGATGGCAGTGACAGCTGGAATTTCTCTTTTTAGAGCCAAAGAGGCATCTGCCTGTAGCTCTGGAGCTGTGAGGTGGGCTGGGGGTGGAATTAGGTCATCCCCTAGCCATGGTGTGGGCTGGGGTCTCTGGGATCCTGGGTCAGCCCCCGAACTTCTAGTCTCCATCTCCACTTCTGCTTAAAGGGGGCAGGATTACCCTATGAACGGGGTTTCTCAACCTCCGCACTATTGACATTTTGGGAGCTATCTTATGTATTGTAGGATGTTTGGGAGCATCCCTGGTATCTACTCACCAGATGTCAATGGCACCTTCTCTGAAGTTGTGATGTTCAGAAATGTCTCCTGGCTGAGAATCAGTGGGCCAAGGAGATGAAGGCTGGGGAGATGGCCCTGTAATCCTTCCTCTAGGTGGCTCTTAAGTCAGCCCAGAGAGGCTCATAGGAGAGGATGTTGTGACTGGAGGGCTGGGCAAGTTGCCTCTGAGTGCCTGTAATGCCCTCTGTACTTCTGGGAGGGTTGTTAAGGACATGGGAGTTGGTGGGTGGCTGCCCATGCCAGCAAGTTCCTTTCCAAGATTTCCAGCTGCCTCTTCCCTCGTTCCTCTGCATGACAATCCCAAACAGCCTCATTGGCAGATTCAGTCAGGATCTTGGGTTGACTTTTTCTTAAGATCAGGAAAATTGTGCCTTGTAACAGAACTCAGAACTCAAAAAGGCCATGCACCTGAGAGGTGATTGGTACCAGAGGGCTCCAAGTGGATTCCTTCTAACTGGAAACATTGTTGCTAGGGAGTTCTAGATATGTGTACATATATGCAATTTTCTTACATTTTGGATAAAATACGGACATCTAGGAGACCTCCTTGAGAAATAAAGACAATGATGCAGAGAAAAGGTGGTGGTGGAGGCTGAAGGAGGAAGGAGAATTAAGGAACTGATAAATGACATTTTTTGGCATCTGGGAAAGATAGATATGCAGTGTTCAGAGTCAGAGAACCAGGCTCAACTATCCATCAAGCCATACTGGTCTTGGTGCTCAGGAACCTCATGCCCAATCCTGGGCTGTGGGTTGCATCACCCTTTAGTGGTGCAGATGGACATTACACACAACTTGCTGGGGTCTGAAGTTGTGTTTAGGGGTCAGTTGGGTTCAGATGGGTTAGGTCAGGCAGCCTCTCTTACCCTGAACACTGCTGTCATGTCTTTGTTAGGTATAAACCTTCTCCAATCAATCTCATGCTGACTTTCTAAAATGTTGCAATTCTGACAGTATCCCCTCTACCTCAAGGATTAGGATGAATGCCTCAAGAACATTCTCAGACAGGATGATTCCCATCCACCTGTGCAGAAGTGCATCACCCTTCCCCCACAGGCCATATGGCATTTCCCAGGCATGACAAGCTTTCTTCTCCCTCTGGAATGCCCTTCCCAGGCTTTGTATAAACTCCTATTTAGCCCCAAGGCTTAGCCCAGTCATCCACCCCATCTAGCCTGAGTGAAGCCCTGTCTTCTGTCTACTCCTGTGCCTCTCCCCATTCATTAGAAGACACATCACTGTGTCATAATTTATTTGCTTGTCTCCTAGCAGAGGGAGAGTCCCTGGAAGCTCCCTCTGGTCTACATTCTCCCTGCACCCCTGTGTGGTCCCAGGTTGTAGTGGGTGCTCAGCAAATGTATGTTGACAGAATGGGTCAGAGTAGTATGGGGGGGTGGTGGTTCCTAGTCTGTGGGATCTGGTGGCAGAGCTCCAGTCTAACTTTGTGTCTACCATGGACCAACTCTGCGGCCCTAGACAGTTTCCTTGTGTGTTAAAGGGGGACATGAGGACCCCTTGCAGATTGTTGCAGAATCAAGTTAAGAGTTCTGAGTTAGGGCCTGCAACTGTTTTGCAGGGGGCTTTTTTCTGTGACCTGGTGCTCATCTACATCATCAAGAAGAGAGAGTTCTACCGTGACAAGAAGTACGAGGAAGTGAGGTCAGTTAGGCTTCCTTTCTGCAGCCAAGTGGAGCCCCATGGGCCCCACTGGCTTAGAGCCTTTGCCTGGTTGGGTACTGGGTTTGGGGTGTGGAAGCAGGGGCCAAAAGGCATGGGGAATGTGGGGTCTTTCAAATACCTGCTCCATAGAACTGGATTCTGCTTCAGAGCAGCCCAGGGAAAGAAGAGGCCTTCCCAGGCTGCTGGCAGGGTGAGCAGGTTTACAGCCTCTTCCTATGATTTTGGACCAGGTGTCCTTGGGTCTCGATTGATTTTTCCATCTGCAAGATGAGAGTTGGTTTACATAGAGTGCCTTCTAGCACTAGTATTTTGGGATTTGGGGGGGGGCTTGAAGGTTCTAGTGGGCTGGGGTTAAGGGAATCTGGGTGGTAAGGAAATCTGTAGGGGCTTCTTTCCAGTTCTCTTGGACCACTGGCTTGTGTGTGCGCGTTTGCAGAAGCCAGTGTGAGGGGGAATCGTGATGGGGGTGGGGGGAAGGGATAGCCCTTGTCTTGGGAAAGGCTTTCTGGAGAAGCTGGCATCAGAATGAGGAGCTGGGACGGGCACCTCGGAGCTCCCTCAGCCCCGCCACAACCTAGGACGGCGGGCGGGCGCAGGGTCTGCCTGAGTGGTTTGCCTCGATTGAACTCCAGCCGCAGCTTGAACCCAGCCCAGCAGCGAGGAGCCCGACCTGGCCGCAGACCGTGCTGCTGGAGGAACGAGGGCAGCTGCCTTTCTCGGCCCGCTCCACCTATGTCTGGGGAGTCGCGTACAGGGCAGGGTCGAGAGGGCAGTGCGTTGGAGACCGAGGCCGAGGTGGTGCAGCCAGGGCAGCTGGAGGAGGAGCTGCTGGAGGAGCAGCCCCAGGCGCTGCCCAGCCATAGCCACTGGAAGGGGAACGGCAGTGTGTGCTCGCAGTTCCCCGAGTTAGCCAGGTGAGGCGCTGCTGGGCAGAGCCTGCTGAAGATCCAGTCTTGCAGAGGGGGGCCGCTAGGACACCCGCTCCAGGTTGGCCTGGACACCCGGCAGGATGTCCAGGACTCGTAAGGTCCCTCCAAGCAGGACTTGGGAGAGAGAGGTTGCTGGTGGTTCTATAGGCCCCCATGAGCCTCCATTAGCGTCCCAATCCCCCTGGATCCACGTGCAAACCAAACATCTTGCTCTGCTGTCCCAGCATTAAAGCAGCAAGAGTACCCCCATTCACCCAGCGCCTTTCCCTTCCCTATGCTGCCCTGGGCCATTTGTATATGTTAATTCATTTAAGTATCTTAAAGAGGTGGACACTGATGTGACTTATTTTGCTAATGAGGAAACCCAGGCACAAAACAGTTAAGTAATTTGTTCAAATTCCACAGCTAATAAGTGGCAGAGCTGGAATTTGAATCTCAGCAGGTCTGGGATCTTGTATCTCTAGGATCTAGTTCTCTAGTGGGTTATCTTGCCTGATAAAGACCCTCATCGCCCCACCTCCCATCAGATCACTCCCCTGCATCCCTCTTCTATGTAGACATTCTGGAGCTGCCCTTCCCCTGGGCACTGCCTGGAAGTCCTGGTCAGCCTCCTTTTTATTCAGCAGATTGTGGGGCTGGACCTCTAGTCTGAGTCAGGTGACCTGAGTTTAGGCCTGCTCTGGCCTTATTTTCTTTTTCTTTTTTCCTCTCAGTAGGGGTTGGACCCAGAGCCCTCTCCTACTTGGTCAGGCTGGGATGTTCCCAGACGTGGGATGGCCTTTCCTCCAATCCCCAGCTTTCTTTCCTTGCAGACTCAGGATTTGGCAGCTTACAAATGGGAGCTTGGGCTTGTCTGGAAAAGAGCCAGAGAAATAGTCTGGGATGGAGCAGAGTGAGGAGAGAAAGGTGGAGGCTAGGGTCTGCAGCAGTGGGGTCAGTGGCATTAGAGTCTAAGGACCTGGGTGGGGCAGGTCTGCGCCCAGCAGCCCTTTACGTGCTCCCTGAGCTGACCATCACTTCCTGGGCGCCTGCCTAAATGCTTTACCCTGCAGCGGGAGAGAGTGGCCGCCTTGCTTGTCTTGGCCCAGCCTGCCTGTTGCTGTGGGAGGCTCCATGCTCATGGGCCTACGCTCCGGCTGCCACCACAGTTGCTGCTTCTCAGTGCTTGGCGGCTCCTGAGGACTCAGCTTGAGCATCCCCATGTGTTTGGGGTGCAGCCAGGAACCTGGACAGATTTCTCCTTTCTCCACATGCTCTGACTGCCTGCAGTGCTGTCAGTGGAAGGTGGAGGCTGCTGCATGTCGCTGCCTTTAGGGAGGTGACCCATCCACAGAGTTCCTGACAGTCCTCTCTGCCTTCTGTATGCCCCTCTCCCACCCTCTTGCCCACAGGTCTGGCCTTCTGAAGAATGTAGAGGTGAATGCTGAGCAGCTGCAGAACCTGCGGACAGTGGAGACGTAGCTAGAGCTGGTGGCCTAGAGCAGTCTTGAGGATGTTGGGGCCAGAACCACCCATAGCTCTGAACTGAGAAGAGATGTGCATGTGTCTGCAAGGGACAGGGGCTTCCAGGAACAGCCATCTCCCCTGACTGAGATCCTGCTACAAGCCTTATGTTGTATGGAGGGGAGTCTTGGCAGCCTGACTGGCTCAGATCCAGAAGAGGAGGCCCTGGGGCAGGCGCCCAGGGAACAGGGCAGGCCAGGAGCCTGAGTGATACTAGATTATTTTAATTTTTCCTGAGAACCTGACTGGACATTCATATTCATCCATCCATGCATGCAGTAAATACTTATTGATGCATGCTGTGTGCTTGGCCCTATATAAGAGATGCTTAAATGAGATACTGACCTGGCCTTCAGAAATGGGGTAGACACACATATAATGACCTTCAAGCCAACAGAGACATTACTGCCCAGCTACTCTGGCTGCCTTCCTGCCTCTAGCTGATAAGTTTACAAATCCCTGTAGAGAATGACAATTGCTCAGAGAAAGCCTTTAGATAACATCCAGGGGGACACTTGGTCTTACCCATGGGATAAAATTTAAAGGTGGCCAAAGAGGCAATAGGAAAGGACTGGACCAGTTGGAAGGCATCTGGCCCATAAGGGGAGAAGCCAATTGCAAGGGCTTTAAGGTAAGATGGGAAAGAGAAGGCAGGGAGGACTCTACTCCATTCTTTTAGGTAAGCTCAGCAAGACCATGTCTCCCACTTACACCTCCCCAAGAATAGTGACTTGCCCAGATGTGAGATGCTTTTGCCTGGGTGGTTTGGCTCTTGCTGTTGTGTGGGGCTGGGTGTCCCTGCTAGCTTCCCCTCCTTAAGTGCTAACCAGGTAAAGGATTCTCTTTTAGCAGGTGTCAAGTTGTTAGGGAGGCCCTCACTTCCCCACCCCCAAAGTGGGGTCCGTGGACCAGCATCACTAGGGGGCCTGTTAGAAATGCAGATTCTCAGCTCCCTCCCTTGTCCTACCAATTCAGAACCCGTATTTCCCCTTAGGTGATTTGCGAGCACATTATTATTGCTTGAGAAACCCTGATTGTGAGGGGAGAGAAGGCCAGCTTGGCTGGAAGGAGCTAGTTTCTAGACACACCTCCTGAGACCGGGATACCTCTCCCACTCACACCTCCAGCCTGAAAGCAGCATTATGCTCAATTTGTTTGAATTAAAATATCTTGACTAGGTAATATTTCTGATTCAAACATGCCTATAATTCTAGCGATTCGGGAGACTGAGGCAAGAGGATCGGAAGTTTGAGGTCAGCCTGGGAAGGCAGGGAGGCCTCTACTCACAAATCCTTGTAGAGAATGATGTTATTCAAAGGCTTTCTCCTTTTATCCAAAGGATAAAGCCTTTGTATAACATCCAGGGGGACACTTGGTCTTCTCCATGGGATATAAATTTAAAGGAAAGGACTGGACCAGTTGGGAGGCAGCTGGCCCTTAAGGGGAGAAGCCAACTGCAAGGGCTTTTAGGTAAGCTCAGCAAGCCCATGTCTCAAAATAAAAAAATCTAAAGGGCTGGGAATGTGACTCAGTAGTAGAGCACTCCTGGGTTCAATCCCCAGTATACAACCCCCCCCCCAAAAAAAAAAGGAGAAGTAAAAAGTTGGTTCTTTTCACACATTCTCTGGAGGCAGTTACCAATTCCAGAAAACTTCCTTATTCTGCTAAGAATCCATGTTCACATGGTTACTTATGCACTGACTCAGGAAATGATCTTTTCCTGTAAGGCAGATGCTCCTGTGTCAGAGATGGGACATGAAATATGCTTAAGTATTTGGCTTGGGGGCTGGCTAGCTCTTTTCCCTATCCCATGGCATCAGAGGAATGGCTGGGTGAACCGGATAGCATCCAGGAAGCATACCAGAGAACATCCTCTTTGGAAGGGGATATGGTCTTTGTACACAAGGGGGCAGCAAGCCTCCTTCCACAGGAGCCTTTGGGGACAATAGTCTCAAGCAGGAGGTTACTGGTGAGGCTGACACTGGGGCGGAGGAGCATGGTGCCCAGAATAGGACTCCTTATAAAGCAAGCAGCTCCCTCACCTTGGGTTGTCTGGGGACCTGTCAATGAGTGAACCTGCACTCTGAATAGAAAGTGGAAAATTTAGGTGATCTATTTAAGTGTTTTACTTCCTCACTAAAGCAAACCCTTGGGTTTTATAATCTAGCATGTTACTTTTATGGTTGGGAGGAGGTAAGAGGGGCAGGACTTGTGGCTGCTTAGGGATAGATCTGGTTCCTTTTAACCTGATTTTGAAATGGTGTGTCACAGTCAAATAACCTGGGGACAATGATACTATTTTATATTGGAGTATAAATGCCTGCCTACAGTCATTCAGTTAGTAAATATTTGCTGAGTCTTTATTATGTGTAAGGTGTTGGGAGTAAATGATGGAGATACAGTTGTGTTCAACGTATAGGGTCCCTGCCATCGTGTCCTTCCTGGCTGGTGGGAGCTGGACCTTAACCAAGGGGTCACACCTATAGTCACAGACTCAGATGCTTGGAGGGTTTTTAACTAGTAGTAGTCAGAAAGTTTCTCCAAGGAATTTTGACATATTATTTGAGACCTGAAAGGTTAGGAGCAGCTGACTGGGTGGGGAAGGAAGCGGTCCAGGTAAAGGAACCACATAAGTAGGAAGAAGCCAACTGAGGATATGCGTGAAGGCAGTGTAGCTGCACAGGGTTTTGTGAGGCTTTCCTGTTATTGGCCTTAATTTTTTGGGGGATGGGAGGCACCGGGGATTGAACCCAGGAGCACTTAACCACTGAGCCACATCCCCAGCCCTTTGTATTTTATTTAGAAACAAGGTCACACCTGAATTGCTTAGGGCCTTGCTAAGTTCCTGAGGCTGGTTTTGAACTGTTGATCTTCCTGCCTCAGCCTCCCAAGCTGCTGGGATTACAGATGAGCCGCCATCATGCCCGGCAGATTTTTTTCTTTGGTGGTACTGGGGACCAAACCCAGGACCTATTTGAACTCTAGGTGAGTCTTCTACCACTGAGCTACATCCCCAGCTCAAGTTGGCTTTCTTTACCTCTAAGGATTGCCCCATTACACTTTATTGCCTTAAAAGGACTAATTCAACCTAATTGTTTCTTAGAGGCCAGCAAAGCTGTCCAGGCGGCCTCAATGGCTACACTTCAGGGGGCCCATACTCAGAAAGACCAGGGAGCCCATTACAGCTTCTGGACATCACTGTACATTCCTGCCAGAATTGCCTTGCTTTTTGCAGACTCTGGCTTGCCACATTCTGCATAATCTTGGTGTAAGAGTTGGCGGCTCATTAATCTTACAGAAATGTGCTTTTAAATGGAGAAAAGTGAAGCAGGAAGTTGAGCTCCTTCCAAACTTTTGAGAAAATCCCTCTCTCTCTAGGCACTGGTTGCCTCATTGGAAAAATGAGAGTTCAAGCTCTAAGACCTTTCTTCTTTTTTTTTTTTTTGGTGTTGGAACCCAGTGCCCTTGTGCCTGCTAAGCACACACTCTACCACTGAGCTATATCCCTGGTCCAAGAGAGCTCCTTCCTATTCTGATATTCTAGGTCCTAGCTTAAACTTGCTCATCAACTATTTTCCTAACAATTATTATCCCATGCCTTTGGGAGCGCCATACTAGTTACACACTGGGAGCTATTAATAGTGACATCATGGGAATCAGCCAGGAAAGGTCGAAGTCCCTCCATTCTTGATGCTGGGGGTCATTAACACTGAACAGTCATGGCTGCCTTTTTACCCCCACCCACCCTCATCAGTTCTTCTGTTCTCAGTGGGGGAATCAGTTGTTATAGGGAGAATGTTACTTTTTCTAGGTATCTCTGAGCACCTCAGTGATCGACTACTATGCCCTGTAGAGTTCTTAAAATCACCCTACTTGGAATGACATCTTGAGTCTATGGAAAAGGGCTCCACCCATTTCCAATCCACTACCTCCCAAGCGATGCGAGTTTCCTCAGAGGAAACTCTTCACTGCATCCAGAAACGCTTTCTCTCCGAAAGACTATACTGTACTGCCAGCTGTTTCCCTTTAGGCTGGACAGAGTTAAAGGGGGCAAGGTGGTAAGCACCTTCCGGGACCTGCCCAATATATGTATTTTTGACACTTTTATTTGGTTCTCAAACAATAAAAAGTATCAATTTTAAACATGTCCTGATTCTTTTTCCCTTCATATCTTCACGATTACCCATGTTTTAGGGGAAAATGTAAGGAGAAGGCGAGATTAAGAGGCAGATACAAGAAACAAGTTAGTAAGCAATACATTATGCTCCTTGTTATCTTGCAAAGAAACTCAAACGAAAGTTTGGCAATTCTTTAAAAGAATAAACATTAAGACTAGGAAGGCACTAATAAAACTGGTACTTTTCATCAATTTGATAAAACTCTGGAAAGCATTTGGAATCAAGTTATCTTCTGTCCTAGGAGCTTAAATTCCCCCCAAATCACTTAAATGTGAAGAAATTCACTGCAATATTTCTTTTAATAGTGAACACTTCCAACAAACTTACTGCCCAACAGTAGGGAAATGGTTAAGTAAACCAGCCCACAGATCCCTCATCCCTTCTCTTTTCCTCCAACAGCAGGACCCCTCTGCTTCCTCCTTACTTTACATCAGGAATGAACCCTCCCTTCTCACTCAGAGAAGCCTCTGAGAGGACTGGGCTATACAAACCATGAGTGTGAGGGTTCTCAGTGATGGGCAGAGAGAGGGCTCACTGGAAGAGAGAAGCAAAGCTGTAGCTCAATTTTTTGGCTTGGGGCTCAAGTAAGTGATCGGAACCCAAGATGGAGTTCAGGTATGAGTCCTAGATTCATTTCCATTATTGGCCATGGGCCACTTATGGTCTATAGAAGAGGTCTTGGATTCAAGCTCTTGGATCCTCTTCTGGTCTCAAACTGATCTTTTTAAAAAAACCCCAAATCTGATCACATCATTATTAAAGCTTAAGCCTTCTCCACAGTTACTCTTATGATCAGGCAGTTTACTGCCCACTAAGGAGCTCCAGGATCTGTTCCAGGTCTACCTCAGGGCCTTTTCTTTTCCTCTCCAGAGTTAGGTCATACTTTCCTGTCTACCCAGGACTCTTTTCTGTAAAAGCACCCCCCCCCCCCCTTTTTGACATTCAACCTCCAGGTCTCAGATGTAAGGTTATTCCTTTAAAGAAGGCTTCCTTGATCATTCCCAACCTGGGCTAGGTTTGGGGATTCTATCTACTTTCTTCATAGCACTTACCTAACTTAAATATCTGTGAAATTAGGTAATGCTAATTTCCCTAATTAGACTATAAATTCCACAAGCAACATGTCCATTACTAAAACTCCACTGCAATATTTATTTCTCAATTAGACATATATTTCAAAATTCTCCTAAAAAGAATAATAATGGATTAGCACATAGGCAGAGGCGTTTACACCCTCAACAACCCCAGAGTTTAGCTGGAAGTCCAATCTGTTTAATCCTCACAAGACGTATTCTTTTAAAAAATGCATGAATTTATTTTTTTCTTATGGGAAAGACAACTAGCTGTGACTAGGTGAAATTGAACTGACATGACTCCATTCATATCTGGAAGGAGTGGCTAGTTGGAGGGAATACTGGGCTGTGAAAAAAATATACTCAATACTCATCCAATTCTGCAAAAGCAAATTAAGAGAACTGCATCTGAATCCTGGCTCTGCCTCTTCCTAGCTGAGCCTCCGCTGGCAGAGATATTTAACCTCTTTGAGCCTATTTTTCATTAACAGGAAAAACAGTAACACCTCCATGTTATTGCTAGAATTAAATGAAATAAAGGTCATAAAAAATACAAAAACACACTGTTAATCCGTTCTCAGGATGTTAACAGTAAGTAGCCCTAGTAGCCCCTCTCTGAAATGCCTACATGTAAGCAGGGAAATTACAGACTATGGCCCAAGGCCTGCTCTCCAGAAGTCAATCTTGGCGACTTTTTGCACCACTGGTAAACTATACATTAAGACAAGAAAGAACTTCACAAAGTGTCTCACACTTCATTTAATCTGAAGAATATTACAGGCTCTCTGTCTTCAGATATAAATTATTTATAACGTTACAGAACAAGCAGCGAATTCAACAATTTAAAAACTAAGTAAGTCTACACGGTGTTAATTTCTGGCAACAGTCTTCCCAATCTGATGTTTTAAAAAAGTCACCCCTGCCCTCATTTCAGTAGACGTGCACCATGCCATAGAGGAATGTCCAGAACAGGACGTAGGTGAAGAGGCCTCCGATAAGGCCTCCTGTAAAGAGAGGTCTTCGTGATTTAAAATATTTGTTCCACCTCCTTCCCGCCTTGAGGATCAGGAGCAGGGAGAGCAGGATGGAGGCAAGCAGGTAGAAGATGAAGCCGTAGAGGCCGGTGAGGCCGAGGATGCCGGCAGTGGCCCCCGACAGCGCTGACACCGAGGTCCGGCAGTAATCCAGGACGGCCGCGTTGCCCCGCACGGCTGCCTCGCTGATGAACGGCGGCCCTTCCCGCTTGGCCACCACCGCGGCCATCGCACCCGCCGGGGCTCAGCCTCTGCTTTCTCGTGGAACAAGGCAGAGCTGCGGAGAAAACCAAGTTACTAGTGGCGCCTGAAGCTTGGCAAGTTGGGTTCACACCGCCCCCTACCCCGGGGCTTCCGAGACCCGGCATCACTTGTGAGTTTCGGACCTTCAAAAGACGCCGAGAAGACTAACGGCTCTGGCCGGTAGCACGTCTGCATCCCCCGGCCAGGCTTTCGCAATTACCTGAAACACGGCGGCGTTACTTAGCGTTCCCTCAGACAGGTCGAGGTAGAGATTCCCGTGGCGCCATCTTGTGCTGGAGGCTACTGGGATGGCTCAGGTTGCGCATGCGCACACAGCTCGCCCGCCCTCCTGCGCCTGCGCCTCGGCCACGCTCCGCCCTCTCTCCGCTTCTCTACGTACGCACCGGGACTTCCGACAGCCGAACAGCGCTCGGGTGGGTAATTGGCTGGAGGTTTCTTAACAATTCATGAGGGGGCGGACCAAGTAGGGCTGCCTTTGTTAACCAGAGAGGGCGCGGCCGCTGGCATTCTCACTGCGGGCTTCTCTCAGCTGTGCTTCGTTGCTAGATCGGGTCGAGATGTCTTACATCCCGGGCCAGCCGGTCACCGCCGTGGTGGTGAGTGCGCTCGCGCGGGTTCCTCAGCTTGGTCTGACCTCATTTTTTCAGAGCGATAAACTGACACCCAAACAGGTTGACAAAGCATCGAACCGGGGGCTCCTGCAAATAGCGGGCCAGAGCTCCGGCCCTCGCTTTGCCGGAGCGGTGCTGCAACCTCCCATGGCCAAGAAACATGGCTGGAACTCAAGAGCCTCCCGAAAACCTAGGTAGAGGCCAAATCTTGTGCATCGCCGCCGTCTGGCGGACTCCTTTCAGCCGACCGGGGTGGAGAGAACTAGTAGTAGAAAGACCTCGCCCAACGGAGTCTGGAGGAAAAAAAAAAAAAAAAAAAAAAAACAACCCAAAACCAAAACCCTTTCCCGGGCCTCCCTGTCCCCAGCTGGGCAGCCACGGGGGGCGGGCGCCGGCTCCGGCTCCGATGTTCGTGAGTCGCAGCCTCTGGAATGAGGAAGCGCTTCCTCCGCTCCAGCTGGCTCCGCGGTTGCCTCCCATGGGAGGGAGATTTGGTGGGTGGGGCTGGACAGAGCCTCCAGTAGCAGCCCCTTACCCCTTCCCATCCAGCCTCGCTTTTGGGACCCACCCGCCGCCTTGTCCAGAGCGGAAACTCATACAACAGGCTTGATCCTTCTCTCAACTTTCCCTGGAACCTCAGCCCTTGGGGCAAAGTTCAGGTCCTTCACCTGATACTGGAGGCCCGAGACCACCCTTTGGACTCAGCCCAGGCCTCTGGCCACCTCCTTGCCTTGTCTTGGATGCTGGGTGCATTTAGAATAGGCAGAAGGAGAAAGGAAGTTTGGGACACTAGACCTGGGCACAAGCTTCCCGGCTGACTGGATCCTGGAAGCCAACTCCCTGGTAGAGGTGGGGAAATCGAATCCTAGAGAGAAGTCCGGTCGTGCCCAGCCATAAAGGAAGCCCTCCCACCCTGCTTCCCAGAGGTTTCAGAAAATGGGAAGAAATGCCTTCCCGGCAGGCAAGGAGTTAAGTAAAAGTTCCAGCCTTGGAGTCATAGGGACTGGAGGTGGTATCTCAGATGGGTGTGCTGGAGAGCTTCTGTAGTCAGGAGGGTGGGGCAAAGGAGCCACTGATAAAGATAGCATGTGAGGGTGAACTTGGAGCAGCAACTCAAGCCTGGACTGCAGGACCAGCTGTCCTAGTTTTACCCTGCACCAGCTTGACTTTTCCAGATCCCTAGTTTCCCCAGAAAGAAGGTTCCAGGTTTGCTTCTTAGCTGGAAAACAGGGAACACAAGTGAGGAGCCAGAGAGCCACCTTAACTGCTTGACTTCTCCCAGCAAGTCAGTGACAGGTTTCTGTTTCTTTTCTGACCTTGGAGGTGGGTTGGAGGAGCTCACACTTTTAGACTTGAGGATCCAGGTGAATGTGCCTGAGGGATAGTGTTTCCTGCTCCTTTTCCCTCATGTCATGCCTGGTTCTAGGTTCTTCCTCAAAGTGTAGGACCACAACTGTCCAATTCTTCTAACACCAGGAGCATGCCTGAACATGGTGGGTGGGGTTTAACCTCTCTGGCTATGTCTTGGATTGGGAAAGGATTCTGGAAGCTTTTCTCCCAGTCCTGCCCTCCGCCCCCCCCCCCCCCCCCCCCCCCATATAGTTTTGAGAATTACAGCCATTTTGGTCCCTCCTCTGTCCATGTGGAGCAAAGGCTTCACAGCCCTGTCTTCTGGGCACCTGTGTGGGTGGCTTCTGGCACTCAAACTTTATCTTCTCCTCCTAGATCCCCATCTGAAATGATAGTTGTGTTCAGCCAGATTAGATGGCTAGATGCTCGACTCCTCTCCCTGATGAACAGTCATCAAGTCTATGGATTTCAGTTTCCAAGTAGCTCATGTCCTCTGGCCTCTATGCTCACCCTACCCACCTCACACAACACATTCATTCTCCTACTTATGACCTAAGTGGCCATTTTAGCATCAAATGTGATCATGCCTTGCCCTATTCCCTAAATTCTCTGTGCTCCAGTGGGTTCACGGTCAGGTGGCCACAATGCTCATCACCTCCTTAAGGCCTGGTACAAATGATCCCTTTGTGAAGCCTCTCCAGGTCCAGGTCCAGATCCAGTTGCCATTTGCTTTTTTTCCCGTTCTTCCTGTTAAAACTTTACATCTTGGGGCTGGGCGCAGTGGTGCACGCCTGTAATCCCAGCGGCTTAGGAGGCTGAGACAGGAGGATCACGAGTTCAAAATCAGCCTCAGCAAAAGTGAGGCGCTAAGCAACTCAGTAAGACCTTGTCTCTAAATAAAATACAAAATAGGGCTGGGGATGTGGCTTAGTGGTCAAGTGCCCCTGAATTCACTCCCGGGTACCAAAGCAAACAAACAAAAAATTCCCCAGAACTTTCCACTTTTGGTTAATCTCTGTCCCCAGGATCTAGTGACTGGAAGGTACCTGCATAGGGCTCTGAAAGGTGGGGAGCTGAGTATGGTGGGGGGGGGGGCTAGAATACTATCCTCAACCCTGCACAAGAGCAAGATCTGGGGCTTCGGGGGGACCCCCCTCTCCCATCTAGGAATAGTCTTAGAGGTCTGCATCCCACAGCTGTCCTGGTCCGGCTGTAGCCTCTTCTTACCTCGCAGTTCCACATCTTCATCCTGTACTCTTTGGTCTCACAGACCTTCAAGCCTTTGGTCTGCTTCCCTTGGCTAGGAAGGAAGCCCTTTCCCTTCGGTGCAAGTTTGATCTTCTCTACTTTTCCTGAGCACCTAAATGTCTTGCCTTTGACAGTGCTGGCTCAGCAACCTGAGCTGCCTTATTGTACCTGCATTGTGCCTGACTCTCCTGCCCTGTGGGTCCCCTCCCTGGGAAACTGGACCTCTCTTCCATGGCAGCCACAGCACCCTTGACTCTTGGGCCAGAATGGGTTTAGAACACATGGTGACCAAAGCTGGGGAAGTAGGGGGAAGACAGGGCAGAGAGCTGTGTGGGTGGGTCCATGTTGCCAAGTTTTAAGTCCCAACTCTCCAGCCTCCCAGGCTGGTGACCAGCTAGATTCCTATTGATGGCCCCATGATCTTATCTCCAATCTGCAGCCCAGCCCTATTGGGCCCCACCCCTTGGCATAGCTCTGAGGTGACCCAGCAGCCTGAGGCTGCTGCTTCCGACTCAGATTCATTCTCCACTCACCCCATCATGCTTTTTTTTTTTACCTTTGCCAGCAAAGAGTTGAAATTCACAAGCTGCGTCAAGGTGAGAACTTAATCTTGGGCTTCAGCATTGGAGGTGGAATTGACCAGGATCCCTCTCAAAATCCCTTCTCAGAAGATAAGACAGACAAGGTGAGAGGGAACTAGGTCCTGTGACCTTTCCATGGGGCATACAGGCCTGAGATGGTGGGTCTCTGCTTCCTGGGCCTGTATGGAAGGAGCAGATCTTTTTCTCAGACAATCCTGATAGAGGTCAAGATATGGTGGGAAAAGGAAGGGTTGGGATGGGGAGTGGGCCTCTCAGCCCTAGGAAGGCCTGCTTAGACAGCCCAGGAAAAGTAGGAGGTGGTCATCAGCAGGGGCTGGAACATCCCTAGGTAGCCATGCTTTCCCCCTGGCTGTCCTGGCACAGTCTACACTGGTGGAATGTGCTGGGGGCAGGCTGGGCCCAGGGAGAGGAGTGGCTGGGAGTATGTTATGTTAGGCTCTGCCTTGTGGATAAGGGGCAAGTCCAGTGACCATAGGTCTTGACCTGGGCTCCCTCTTTCAGGGCATTTATGTCACACGTGTGTCTGAAGGAGGTCCTGCTGAAATTGCTGGGCTGCAGATTGGAGACAAGATCATGCAGGTAACAAGTGACCCAGAGGAGGAGAGATTAAGGTTTGGACCAAGGGGGCTGAAGCACATGGGGTTAGGAGAGATTGGCCCAGCCTTCCTGCAGAGAGGGACTCACCGAAGCCAACTGGAAGTCATGCTGGTATGGCCCACAGACAAAAGGCTCTTCTTTGAACTCAGTTCTAGTGCTTGACATCTCCATGTTTGGAGATTTTGGTCTGGGGGCCTGCTTGGGTGGCCTGGGTACACCATAGTTCTCTGCTTGCTGATCCTGGAAGCAAGGAACTGAGGTGGGCTGTTTTCTCTCCCTGGATCAGGTGAATGGCTGGGACATGACCATGGTCACACATGACCAGGCCCGGAAACGGCTCACTAAGCGCTCAGAGGAGGTGGTGCGCCTGCTGGTGACGCGGCAGTCGCTGCAGAAGGCTGTGCAGCAGTCCATGCTGTCCTAGCAGCCCTCCTGTGATCCTTACCTTGTGCCTACCTGCCTATTTGTACAGCGACACCACTTCCACGCTCTCTCTGCTCCTCCATCCTGGCTTCTGCTGCGTGCTGGGTTCCAGCTCAGAAGGGCGACAGCTGATCCCAGAGGCCTGAGCCAGCCCTGCTTCCCCTCCCACTCTAGCCCGAGGCTCTGGGACCAGGTCTGTCTCTGGGATACTGAGGATTGGAAACAAGGGCCTGGAGCTGAGTGAAGCCAGTCTGCGATGACCAAAGCTCAGCCCACTGCTGTTTCAGCAGTGCCTGGGTGAGCAGAAAACACCACTTTCTGAGAGCTGCCAAAGCTGGGAAATGCCACTCGGGGCTGGCTTTCCCTGATTTGCCCTGGCTGCAGGGCTTGGCCCTGCCTTCCTATGTCACTTCCACAGTGCCCAAGCCACATGCTGTCCACCCCGACATTGCCCAGTGGGGGGCTAGACCCCCACACTCCTGGAGGCACTATGAAGGTTCATCTGGATGGCAGCTGGTAGCCTCCCATGCACCCTCACTTCCCTGAAGGGTGCTGGCCTCCCCAGGGTTTGCCTACTTACAGGATTTAGCTGAGGTTCAAGCTGACATTTCAGGGCAGCTCTCAGGATTGCCATTTTTCTCTATGCCCGTGGTTTTAACTTTTGTATTTTTTTAATCACAACTTTGATACACAGCGTTTTTATCTTACTATTTGGAGATGCCAGTTGTAGTTTTGAGTCTAGCTTACTAATTCACATGTGGGAGCAACTACTCTTAGCACGTGAACAGCCTTACTTTGGTTACCATGGAAATGGGGCAGTATGATGCTGCCCCACACCCAACATCTCATGTCCAATAAAGAACGCTGGAATTCATGAGGGATCCTTGCTGAGACATGGAGTGGAATGGGACAAGTGCTTTGGTTTTAAGGATGGCTAACATGTCTCCCACTGTTCTGGGACAAAGCCCAACTCTTTTTAGGCCCACCTGCCCGGGAAAGTGTGTGGCTGGTGTTGCCTTAGAAGCTTTAGTGAGGGCTGAAGGTATAGTGGTAAAGTGCTTCCTGGCATAGGGGAAGCCCTGGTCCCAGCTCTAATACCATGATGGGTGGTGGAGCCTCAGTGGAAACACCCTGTATGTGGCAAAGGCCACATCTGTGTCTGGGTATACCTTCACTGCAATTAAGGTGGGGAACCTGGGGTGTCACTGTGAAGCTAGGTTACATAAAGGAAGTTGGGGGTACTTCAGTGTAACCTATCTTCAGTTCCCACCTGAGAGGGGCCTCATGGGCACTCTAGGATTCATGGGAAAAGAATCTGCCCCTGAGACTCTAGACAGTATTGATCCACAGCCAGGGACATAACCCTGGATGTTTCCGCAAGTCAAGAGCTAGCTAGGTAGTAAGCAGTGTCTAGTCCTCTGCCTACTAGCTCTGAGAAGGTGCTGCCACTTCTGGATCCACCTTATATTGCCAAATCAGATTTGTGAAGAAAAGTCCAGAATTTGAAATCTCCTATTTTTAAAGTGCAATACCCAAGGACATATTTTATAAAAATCTCTGGGTGGCCTAAATAAAACCGGTCTATAGGTTTGGTTGGGCTACATTTTCTGCTCTAGGGAAACAAGACCTTAAATTCCTTACAGTTGGATAGAATAATCTGGAAAATAAGACCTTTACTTCCCTGATTCCAGTGAAGTCATGCCCTTAAAAACCTCTAACAAACCCTTGCCCACATCTGCAGCTTGCACATGCTGGTGTACCTTAGTACTGGCATATGAGACCCACGAGACATACCTACCTGGCCCTGAGTGGGCATATCCCCAAGAGGGCATACCCAATGAAGCGCAGGGTCAGTACACAGCCACCTCAGATCAGTGATCTCCTAGGCCCTACACATTTCTTTACAGGAGGTCAGTAAGGCCAACTCCCTAAGCCCCCAGGGCTTAGCTCTAAAGGCCAACAGAGCAGCCTTCTGCATCTAGCAAATGCTTTGAGTGTGCAGAAAGAAACAAGCCAGGTTTTAATTAAGGATACAAGCACCATGAAAACAAAAAGGATATAGGCCGCTTACATTGGCCTTGTAGTAAAAAATGTGTGGGCCAGCAAACTCAAGGCACATCCTGGGACCCTCCCTTCCTGCCCTAGGAAGGACAATAGGTTGGGGTGGGAGGGAAGGAGGTTTGAGATTAAGATTATGCCCACAAGCATTGTGTGAGATAGTATCAATTACTTTGAAGCCCCCAAATTAGAGCATCTCAGGGGCCTGGGAAAAGGGAAGGGGGCCTGCCCTCCCCTTGGGGGAAATATGCTTACCACTTGGTAGGTCTGACAGGCCTCTAAGGCACAGGCCGGTAGAGTGTGTCCTGTTGTACAGGTGCTGGGTTAGGAGCACTGTGGGTTCAGATGGAGCCCCATCTGACTCAAAAAGTGGAGGTAGGAGAGAGGACAAAAGAAAGTATGCCACTTCCATAACATCCCTTCAAAAAACCTGAATGGAGTTAGTGTGGTATCTGACTTTGTATGATAAAGTTCCAGAGGGCATTGGGCATCAGTTCACTTCAGAATCGATCTGGCAGGCATCTCAAGGTTCAGAAATCCTCTTCACCAGGCCCTGGCTGGGGCCATCTGTACTGCTGTTGTAGAATCTGAGTTATGTAGAATGAGAGTCTTGGGGACCTTCAGACAAAGGACCCCAAGGCCTAACCCCCAAATCCTCTCCCCTCCGCCACCAGCACCAGCACCTTTGAGTCCACTGGCCACAGCACCTGGCTACTTGGTCTCTGGGAACACAGCAGTGGCAGCAAAGTGCCCTTGGCTCTCCTGGCTGCAAGGTCAGCCCTTCAAGGTGCGCCCAGAAACATTGGTTGTTTGGGGAAAGGCCTTCAGCTGCAAGTTCTGCACCCAGTTCCACCTGAGATGGCTGTCAGGACCTGTGTGTGCTGCCTGAAGCCTTAAAGAAAAAAGATGGAGCATCAAGATGCAGGAAGGCCAGATGCCTGGCCCTTGAGGCCTGGGAGGGGCTGAGACTTCTGGGGAGGCTGGGAGGGACAGCCTGAGGTCTAGCTTTCAGTCTTGGAGCAGAGTCTGGTGTCTGTCCCAGAGAGAACTGGATGAAGGCAGGCTGGTTGAGTTTAAGGCACTGGCCCTGAGGAAGAGAGCACTTCTCCTCTGTCAGCACATCCGAGCCAGCCCTGCACACCAACCTCTTCTCTGGTGTTTGCTGGGTGCAGCCTTACCCACCAGGGCCCAGGGTCTTGGCCATTTACACTAGGTCTCTGGGTGCTAGGTCAGCTGCTCGTACCCTGGTCTCTTTCTGTACAAACAGAAGTGCTGAATGAAGAAGACAACATCAAAGAAGATGGAGAAGACGCCAAGTCCAAACTTGGTTGGGTCTCCGAAGATCAATGTCCATTGGTCTGTTAATAGTCAAGGGGACAGAATCTGGTTTTAGGTTGGCAGTTCCTGTGGCAGTTGGCACATGTGGGGTTTGGGGGTCCCCATTTGCCCAGGACTGCAAATTCTCTAGCTGCAAAGCCCCTGGGTGAGTTTGTCCTTGTAGGCTGGGATGAGCTTGGAATCCCCAGGCTGCTGGGAGTAGCTATGGCTTGGGGATGGGGGCAGTGGGTCCCAAAGCCTGACCCTACCCTGTGTCTACACCCACTGGGTGGGGGCAGCCTGTTGGCTGACTCACCATTATTGTAGGACTGGAGGAACATCTGGAGGAGGCTGAAGCTGCCCCCTATGAAGTCCAGGAGCACATTGCCAATGCTCCAGCCCGCAGTGCTTTTGTAGTAAAAGTTCATGTAGGCCTGGGTCACACAGACAGATGGAGGGCTGTGAGGGGGCTGGATGGCTATGCCTTATGTCTGCCACTCTAAACAAGGGTGGCTCTGATTCATCCCACTTTTGTGCCTAAGCCTTGGCTCCAAGGAACATGGTGACCTTTAGGCTCTGACAAGCCTCAGCCAAAAGAACAGTCTGGGTGGTCCTGGGGTTTCATCTGCAGGCAGGGCAATTGAAGTCCTTCCTTTCACTCCAGCACCTCCCAACTCATCGGAGGGAGGGAGGGAGAACAGCCGCTGCCTTCTCTACTCCTACCCATGGATGAAGCCCTATCCTGGTTTTCCAGCAACTCTGATTCTTCTTCCCATCTCTAATGAAGCTGTCCCTGTATTCAGCATGGACTTGTGCTGTGCCTTAACAACACAGGCTGGGAGCCTGGCTTCCTGGTATGGAATACCTGCTCCATCATCAGAGCTGTTACCTTGGGCAAATCACCGAGTTCTCCTTGCCTTAGTTTCCCCATCTATAGAGTGAAAATAACTCCCATCTGAGCCATGCTGGGCTTCCGGGGCTCCTCTTTAGTATCCTAGGTCTAGTGGGTTTTGCTTGGACATTCCCTTCTTCCTCCTGCCTAGGCTCCATAGCCCTCCTCCAAACCCGTGGTGCTCTTTGGGCTTCCTTGACTGGTACCACATGGGAGGGAGGTCTTGGCCTCTTTGGTGGTCCTCTCCCAGTCAGGGTCCATATTTGCTGTTACCTCTGCAGTCCCAGATGCTCCTAAATGTCTTCCACTGGGGCTCCCTACCTCCCAGGGTTCACTAGTTTCCACTGAGGTTTTCCACCCTGGTTTCCATGCCCTGGCAAAAGCTGCCTTGGGAGCAGGGCCTGAGCTTAGGACCTCTCACCTCTCACACTATCGGCCTTATGATAATGCAGCAAGGTCATGGAGTACCTGTGGAAAATACTTGACCAGTGTGACAGCAAGCTTGATGTAGGAGAAACAGAAGAGAAATTGCAGCCATGTGGTTGCCCCAGCTGCAGCCACAATCATGGTGATGAAGGCGAAGAGCCACAAGAGTACCAGGAAGCCGATGGCGGGCCGTGACACACGCTGGCTGCCTCGCTGAGGATGAGACAAAGAGGATGGGGCTGTAGATAGGGGCACAAGGGGCTGCTGCAGGATCTCAGGAGGGGATGACCATGAAGGAGGGGTGCAGAGTGGGCTGAAGGGGAGAGCTGGAGATGGAAGCCTGGCATTGACATAGCCCATGTGAGGGAGGCCTACACTGAGGCTATGTTCAGTGAAAGGTGAGATGTAGGAAAGATACCAGGGATCCTCAGGCTCCATCTGGGACATGGAACAAGTTGACACTTGGGCTGGGATGAGGTCCCAAGCTGCCAGGCTGTGAGATCCCATCCCCAGCACCAACTTTACCTTGCAGTCTCCAGTTTCTATCTACTTTTTGTTTCTGCTTTGCAAAGCTGGGTGGCCTCTAAGCTCATTCCAAAAGGAGTGAAGGGTGTTAAAGATGTAAATTCCAACACCGGAAGCCCAGCAACTCATCCTAGCCCAGGTTTCGACCTGTTCTATGACCAGATGGAACCTCTTTAATATCCTAGGTCTAGTGGGGTTTGCTTGGACATTCCCTTCTTCCCGGAATCTGCCCTGACCCCAGCCTTTCTCCAGACATGGTGCCAAGTGGGCCTTCTTCACCAAAGTTTTACAGCCAAGGATAAGAAAACTGAGAAGGTTCGTGAAGACGGGGGCCACAAAGCCCCTCTGTGGGCCCTGAACAGTGTGTAAAGAGAACTCACCAAAGGAGGTGACACACCACAGGGAAATGAAAACAAAGCTGTCACTTCAGGGGTTTTTGTGCCCTTCCCTGCTGAGACTCTTAGACTCCAATGGGCCTCCAACAAGGCTGATCCTAGGCTCCTCCTAACCTCTGTGGAGCCAACTCTCCAGCTGGCACCCTAAGCCCTGGCCACACCCATCTGCTTATACTTCCTCTCAAATGCTCCTCAGCCTCCAAAGTTCTGTCCCTTCATGGGGAATGACAACCCCATCTTCCCCTTTAATAACACAGAACGTCATTCACCCTGGAACCGCAATAAGAATCATTTCCTCATCACCCTCCTTCCCTTTCCTCCCTGGCTGGCTTTGGGCCTCTACTCTGCCTCCTGTGCTCCCTGATCCACACAGCTCTCAGCCTGATGTTTTGTCACTGCTTTTCTCTGTGTCCCTCATAAAAGATTTTGGAGCCCTGTGGGCTTGAACTCACTAGGTGTTCTCTGTGCCTGGCACAGGGCCTGATCCATTATCCAGGCCTGGGAAGTAGATGCTGAATGACTATGTTTCCTTTCTGAGGATTCTGCATCTCTATCCAGTGGCAGGTAGGAATGGCAGGTGGCATGTGGGTGGGTTGGGACAGGTGTTGGCTGGGATAGCTCCTGGTGGGCCTGGCTGCCAGGCCCTATCTCTCACCTCATACAGGCAGCACTGCACGATGACAATCAGGGTGAGGGCAACTGCGTGCAGGCTGAAGAAGACGTCATTACTGTCCACAGGGTTCACGCCATTGGGATATTTGATGAAAAACTGTTCCTGTTGAGGGTGGGGAGAAGCTGGGAGGTGAGACGCAGGTAGTCAGCAAGAAGCTTGGACAAGCCGTGGGGGACAGGCAGTGTCATACCTTGATGTAGGGTATCCACAGGAGGCCGATGTTGAACACGCTGTAGGCCACAAAGCCCATCAGGTTCAGGGCCACAAAATCGAAGCTCAGACCAATGACACTGCCAAGGGCAAAGGGATGCAGAAGGGAAGGGTGAGACCTGGGAGGGGACGGAGCTCCTAGCGGGTGAAGTGTGAGGAGAGCACTGTTCTTTGGTTCTTTAATATTCCACAGTCAATGCCACCCAACCCCTGTCCTCTTGGGTGCCGATTCCCTTCCTCCCTCACTTGCTCCTCCAGTCCTGGCTCCCACAGGGGATCCTGGAGGCCTCCTGCAGAAGTACCTCTGCCCTTGCTGACTCTCTGCTATGAGGCTCCCATGGCTAGGGTGACTGCAGCAGAGCTTGTGTCCTTGCTGCATGAAGATGCACCCCCAAGCCCACTTTCACTTTTGTCTTTAAAATCAGGTGGGAGTGCTTCGTCCCCAGGACTGAAGGATGAGTGACTTGACACCTCAGTCTTCCAGGGCTCTGGAGGTTTGGGTGGGCTTTTCCCCTACCCGGTCCATTCTTAGCTGAGAAGCCCATCTTGTTGCTTCCACAGGGAGGGACTGAACTGGCTAAGGGACCAATGCTCAGCACTGGACTCCTACCTAGGCTCTTAGAGAGGACTTTCCCATCAGGACAACCTTCTTGAGAAGGCAGACAGAGAAGAGCAGAGGGAAGAGTGGGAAGCAGCACCAACTGCAGCCTCACTGGAATGCCCCTTCTCACTGCCCCACAGGCCTCAGGCAAAGCTTAGAAGGTTACCTCTTCCGCCTCCAGTTCTTGATCACCTGAGGGTAGAAGGAGATGGACCAGGCCACAAAGTAGATCCACCCAATCACCTGGTTTATGATGCTAATGGTGTTGCTGCGGATCACCAAGAAGCGTATCCTTGGGCTAGAAAGGGATTTGGGATGTGATGAGCTAAGGCTGGGCTTCTGAAGAAAGCCCTTCTGCCCTCTGCCCAGCATGGCCTCCCTTTCCTCAAGGCCCATGTGGCCAGGGAGGAGGCTAGCCTACCTGGTTGCATTGGAATAATTTCCATGCAGATAAACAGTCACTTGTCCAACATTTTGAGAAGTCACTTGAAAAGAGGAATTTGTCACTCCGGGAGGCACTTCAACCTGTTAGAAAGACTTAATTTGATCTGAGGCCACATATAATTATTTAGGGTCTCACCAAGTGTCTTACACCAGCCTACAAATGAGGGAATGAGGAGAAGGTCCATCATAGATGGTCCCTATCTTCAAAGAGCTTGCTGAAAAAAAAAAAAGGCAGAAATGTTGAGATAGACAACCACTTCAAATCCCCTACATCTCTGTGTTTGACTTTGAGCAGAACTATGGACTGGTCCTCAGGGCCTTCCAGGGCTCAATTCTGAGGGAGGGTGGGATGACTTTCTTTCTCTCACTACTCATGTTATTTATGCTCTGATTTCAGTCTGATTATCTATAAATTGGAATAACATAAGTGACTATCTCACAGGGTTTCTGTGAATGACATGATGTCCACAAAGCTTCCAGTACAAAGCTTGACACATGGCAAACAGTGAGTGCTTCCTTTCATGCTGTACTCTGACAGTTGTGTTACATGTATTTCCATCATCATTAGACTCCTCAAGATCCACAAGAGGATGTCTGTCCTACCCCTTGCCTGGTTGCCAAGTGAACAAATCAAATGCTTGACAAACATGAAGGTTCTTAACCACATTTCTGCCTAATGTGCTGCTCCAGGAAAATGGACTTGGAGGCCTGCCTGCAACATCTGCTCTCAATCCCCCCATCCCAGGGTAGCAGGGAACAGGGTGATATATCTTTAGTGAACCAAACTGTCTCCTGTGTCCTCAATCTGTTTGTTCCCTGGGTGAGACCTATGGTCTACCCTCAACCCATATAGTTGGTTCCATGGAGATACAGCTCCATGAATGTTAGCTGATAATGGCTCCTTAATAAGGACCCTTGAGGCACTGGCTTTTTGGTTTTAGCACCAGAAATCAGGGGACTTTAGCAGGACAACCATTTCAAACCCCCTACATCTCTGAGTTTGACTTTGAAATGGAAATTTGATGACATGCACCGCTCTTAGCTCTTTTATTTTCCTGTCACTTCATTTGCAGTGCTGTTTATATATTTGTAAGTGGTCATTAAATCCCTTTGGAACTAGGCAGGGAGAAATTGGTGAATCAGAAATCAACCAAAATAAGGCAGACTGAAATGATTAGGCCCGATATTTTATACTTGCTGGTATTGCTTTTAATCCTCACAGTGTGGTCAAGTCAGACATTATAAACGATCTTGTGCTGTGTCCTGATGAATGACCTTATCCAAGGCTCACAGAACAGGTTTCTAGATAACCCAACTCCCAGGTTCTAATCAATGACTTCTAATGTCACTTCTAATGGACAGGAGTGGTAAGAGCTGGATGAGGAGGGGCCAGTGAAGCAAGAGTCTGAAAAGTGTCCAAAGGTCATTTGATACAAATGGCTTGTTTGACTCCTACTGTGATTTTTTTCCTAATAAACTGAACTGTAACACGCATACCGAAAAGTACACACATCACAGCTGGATGAAATGTCTACAGACAGAATGTACCCAGCTCCCAGATCAAGAAATGAAACAACACCCCAGAAGCCCTGTACCACCCGCTTCTTTGGTCTCCTGACCCCAAGGGTAACCGCTGACACCATATGGTCACTTTGTTAGTACTTTATATACAATGAATCCGACAGCCCATGATTTTTGTGTCGGCCTTTTTAGCTTGATACTGTGTGGCTTCCATTTACTTTTAAAAGAGGATTACTCTTATGTAGATGTTTGCCCTAAACTAAGTAGTGTGTTCCTCCCAGAGTCTAAACGTGATCTGTGGATGAAGAGGGCTGCTCAGACCTGCTATTGGAACCAGCTGCTCTTCTTGTACTGCTTGCTGCCCCTGGACCCTTGGTGGCAGTAAGCTGTGAGAAATGGCACAGGCTAATGCCTTATCAAGGGATCAAGGTCTCCTCTCACATAGGATCCCTTTAAAGGGACACTCTGAAGCCCCTCTCTCAGCAGTGCTGCATTTGCCAGATTCTCCAACTCTTGAGATTGATCATGTTTCACTACTGTTTGCATACTGGACCTCACCACTGATTTTGCTGTCCACCTCCACACCTCCCCGCCATGGCCTCAGGGCCTTCCAGCTCAGCCCTGCATCCCTCCCTGGCATTGTGAAGGTATGACTGACAAATAAAAATTGAACATATGTACAATGTTAGCTAATTAACATATCCAGCCTCCTTTTTTTTGTTCTTGTTGTGATACTAGGGATTTATCTAGGGGTGCTCTACCACTGAGCCATATCCCCAGCCCTTTTATTATTTATTTTGGGGCAGGGTCTCACTAAGTTTCCCAGGCTGGCCTTGAACTTGCTATCCTTTTGCTTCAGCCTCCCAAGTAGCTTGGATTATAGGTGTGTGCCACCATACCCGCACTTATCCTTTTTTTATGGTGTAAATCTGTTTTGTTTTTTTTTAAGGTGGAAACATTTAAAATCTCTTAACAGTCTTCCATCACAGTCATGACTTCCTTAATAATGGGGTATGCTCTGATTTAACATATTAGGCAATTTTATAATTATATGAACAATATAGAATGGATAAATACGAGTTGAGATGGCTAACTTGTCACACTATACAGTATAATCTTTTTTTTTTTTAAATATTTATTTATTTTTTTAGTTATCGGCAGACACAACATCTTTGTATGACCCAACATCTTTGTTTGTATGTGGTGCTGAGGATCGAACCCGGGCCGCACGCATGCCAGGCGAGCGCGCTACCGCTTGAGCCACATCCCCAGCCCAATATACAGTATAATCTTATGGGACCACTGTCCTTTACGTGGTCCTCTGTTGACCAACAGGTTATTTGGTGCACGACTATACATAATACCTTATTATTAACTATAGTCATGATAGATCTCCAGAAGTTATTCATCCTAACTGATTTGTATTCATCTTGTTTTTTAAAAATTAATTTATTTTTAAACCCTTATTTCTCCTGAGTTACTATCTCCCTATTCTTCTTCTTCTTTTTTTTTTTGGTACCAGGGGTCTAACCCCTAAGCCACCTCCCAGCCCTTTTTATTTTTTGAGACAGGTTCTCACCAAGTTGGTAGGGGCTTCACCAAGTTGTTGAGGCTGGCTTTGGATTCCCTATCTTCCTGCCTCAGCCTCCCTAGCTGCTGGGATTACAGGCGTGAGCTAAGACGCCTGGCTTGCTGCCTCCCTATTCTTATCTAGTTGAGTGGCAACTGGCTTACATCCCTGGTAAGGAGGAAACAAGGTACATACAAATAGATAAATACATAAAGCTCTGAATAATTGTTACTATTATCCCAGGCAGCCTCTGGAACTGGGTTTTACAAATGATATCCACTCAATAGTGTCTCAGAAGAGAGTTTCATAAACATTTTTTTTAAGAGTAAATGTACTTTTTTTAAAAAGTTGTCAACAGACTTTATTTATTTATATGCAGCGCTGAGAATTGAACATAGTGCCTCATGTTATGAACAACTTGGCTGGGGTTGTGGCTCAGAGGAAGAGTGCTGGTCTAGCATGCGTGAGGCACTGGGTTCGATCCTCAGCACCACATAAAAATAAAATAAAGATACTGTGTCCACTTACAACTAAAAAAATTAATGTTTTTTAAAAAAGTTTCATAAACTTTAATGTGGACCCCAATCATCTGGGGACCTTGCTAACATATACACTTTGAATCTGGGATAGGGCCTAAGAGTTTATGTTTCTAAAAAGTTATTATTATTTTTGTGGTGTTGGGGATTGAACCCAGGGCCCCAGCATGCTAGACACATACTCTAACACTTGAGTATAGCCCCAGCAACTGAAAGATTTTTTCCTTCCTTCCTTCCTGAGCCACATCCCCAGCCTTTTTATTTTTTTACTTTTGAGACAGGGTCTCACTAAGTTGCTTAGGGCTCTGCTAAATTGTGGAGGCTGGCCTCCTATCTCTTGAGTAGCTGGGATTACAGGTGGGTGCCACCATGCCTGGAACAACTGAAAGATTTTTAAACAAGACTAATGCTGCTGGTTCATGAATATTCTTGAGTAGTAAGGCCTTAGAAAACTATCTTAAGAACTTCTAATTCTCAGAACCACTTTTGCCTCTGGCTTCTTCCTATCTCCTTCTTAATCAAAGTTATATAGCATAAAATGCTCATCCCCAAAGAGACTGATGAAAACAAAAGTCACAGATTTTTGGAATGATGAAACAGGGACAATCTAGGTGACCCATAGCCACAAACTCTTAATTACAACATGTTTTGTTATTTAGCATTTCCCATTAGTTAGATTTGTTACTTACTTCATCAGGGAGTTCAAGGATAGTAATATTTTTTGAATGAAATGTGATTTCAAAAGTGATCACCAAGGTTGCATTTAATGGCTGCCTGTGGAGGACAAGAGTCTGATTATTGCTGAGAAATTGGACACTGTGAAATCTCAACCAACCCTCTGGATTTTGCACCAGGTCTTAATTTCTCAAGTAATCAGGAATAAGAAATGCTACGTGCTCAACCCTGAGGGGTAGAGAGGTGGAATCCCTGCTCCTTAGGTGTCTTCTATCTTTACCAGAAAATTAGATGTCCCTTCAGGGTAGGATGAGAATGTGAGAAGGTAGCAAACTGACTGTGAATGATTTGGGAGGCATCCAGAGATGGATAAGATAGAGGCTCCCTGTGGCAGTGGGAAAGGTTTCCCAGAAAGGGTCAGATCTGAGCAGGATTTGGTTACAAAGTCAGAATCTGACTGAAGGAAATGAGGGCCCTTGGGGAACAGCCCATAGGGACCTCAAATCTGGGTGTAGAGGCTTGGAGTTAATTGAGAGGCCAGCCATAAGCCACTCAGGGACTCTAGAGGGGGTGAGTTGGGGTTAAAGGATGACTTGGGACATTTACAAGGTATGGACGTGCAGGAATGATAGGAATTGGAAATGAAATGGCAGGGCTGTAAGGGAAACTGGGAGCCATACCTCCCAGGAAAGGTAAAGAAAAAAGGACAGGGTTCCAGATCTTCAACTCAGGGCATCCTCACAACTGGGGTGCATGAACAGGGTGAAGTAGCTAAGGGCACAAAGGGAGAGGTGGGCTTTCTGGCACAGTCTAGACTAGGTCAAGACCGCTGTGCCTAAATTTGAAGGGGTCATCAAGTAAGAGTCTCCGACAAAGGCCAAGCATGAGCATTGCAGGAGTGGGATTATGCCATATGGTCACTTCTGCTTTTGGAAGTAACCTCAGCAGGACTAATCAGTAGTTCAGCTTCTTGCCCCTTGACCTTCAGGGATCTCTTCAAGTATTTAGTCTTGGAAAGGGTCTTGAAGTCTGTCATCGATTGTTCATTACTCTAGAACTCTCCACATGGGGAGAAAAAGCTTGTGTCTCTGGTAAGAAGCACCCCTTCTTCTTCCTCCTAGTGGAAGGATTCAGTCTGGGGGTTCAACTGAGATGCTACTCTGTAGCCCAGGGTTAGTATCACTGTTGTTTCTATGGCTTGTCCTCCAACTAAGAGGCAAAAGCGTCACCTCTGAAATATGAATAGACTGAACCACCAGTCAGCCCTGACCTAACTGTAGGGCCCATACAAGTGGGGCTGAGGACAAAAATGGGCCTGACAACTTACCCCAGGGTGATGCTGACGTTGGTTGAACTGCCATTTTCCAGTTTCACAACAGGAGGCACGGTGAAGCTGACAGTCGATTCTGGAAGGACCCAAGTCAATGATGTGAGTCATCAGATCAGAGTGTTCACGCCCATGAGAAGAAATAGGCATAAGGGCCCCTGACATCTGATCACTGACATCCTACTTTCTAAGTGAAGAGAGGGAGGTACTGGAGGCTCCATGAGGGGACTGGATACATGGGCCTCATTATGCTCCTTCCACATCTGTTGCCAGAGACAGAGACAGAAGGTGCCATAGGCCAGAGCAGGAAATGCTGGAGCTTTCTCCCCAATTTCCTCTTCTGACAGGCTCTGAGGGCCTGAGGCTTAGTTACCTGGAGACAATTTACAAGCACGGAGCTCCAAAATTACCACAAAGGAATTCATGCCACCATTTGGGATTATAAATGGTGAATGGGAACCACCTCTTCAGATGGATAACACAGGGGTCTCTTCTTTATAAGGTTATATAATCCTGAAGAACTGGTCCAGCCCCTCTCTGCAGTCTCAAGACATGCATGGGGCCCAGCTAACATGGTTTTAAAGAACCCTTTTACAATCCCTTATTGATTCAGCTTAACCCATGCATGGATCCCCCTCCTGAAGCTGGCGATAAGGTAGTGACTGGAGAATAGTTAAAGATACACATTTTTCATCATAAAGGATTTCTTCTTGGCATTAAGATGTTAACTCAAGATAAGGTAGACAAATAGGTGCTTCCAGGATGAGGGAGGAAGCCCGTTTGGGTGTTAGAAAATCACCTTGGGAAACTGGGTGTGTAGTTAAATGGTAGAGCACGTGATTAGCATGCAGGAGACCCTGGGTTTAATCCCCAATACCAAACAACAACAACAACCAAAAAAATCACCTTGGGAGGTCAACTACCCCAGGGTACCCTGGTCTCAGAACATGACCAAACTTGCCTCTTCAAGCTCTTCTTGTGTTCTTTGGGCAGCCCACCTCCTCATCCCTGCCCTTACCTCCACTCCAGGTGTGCTTAAAACATTATGCCATAACCTCCCCATCTCACCTTTCCTGTCTCACAGACCTTAGGGTTATGCAGTCCAGAGGTCATGATTATGAATCTAAATTGGGATGGGAATGGCACCCAAACGGGAGAGCAGGTGCTCAACTCTGATGAAGATGGTTCTTGTAGGGGTAGAGCCTGCAAGCAGGGCCCAGGTCTCCTCTACCCAGACTCCTTAAAGGCAGATAATGAAGAACTGAGAACTAAAATTTAATTCAGCTTCCTCTGTTGATTCTCCTTCTTCAATACTCCTACCTGGTAGTTCTTCTTCCCCTGCCTGGACACCTACAGGGAGAGTCATCTCATCTTCTCCAAGGTGCTCAGGCAACCTGAAACTCACATTTCTGGGTCCAGTTCTGCTACCTGGAGCCTTTCTGATCACATCTGAGATTACTTCTACCTCTTAGCCCTTCATCTAGGAATGTGGATGAAGGCTGCCTCCAGTCTGAAAATCCCCCAGCTGAGATGCCCACTGTCTGTGATCTACAGTATCCTCTTGCCTGGCTCCCTCAGGTCCTTGTAGAGGCCAAGCTGCTCATAGTATGTTGGTCCCTCCCTCTCTCTCTCTCTCTATTTTGGGTACTGGGGATTGAACTCATGGGCATTGAACTCATAGGCACTTAACACTGAGTCACATCCCAGCCCTATTTTGTATTTTATTTAGAGACAGGTTCATTGAGTTGCTTAGTGCCTTGCTTTTGCTGAGGCTGGCTTTGAACTCATGATCCTCCTGCCTCAGCCACCTGATCCACTGGGATTACAGGTGTGCACCACAATGCCTGGAGGTCCCTCTCATAGTTAACTATAGCCTCAGGACCTGGAGGCAATTTGGTGACTCTGTCCCACTTTTTGTTTTCATTTTCACTGCTCTGATATCATTTCAATTTAGTATATGTGCTGCAGAAGGGAGCACCAATGCTCTGATACCTATCTGAGGTTTTATTCTGGTCTTGCAAACTGGGGTGGTGCAGTTCATTTTACCCAGAACTGAGGACCACACCAGATAACCAAGTCCCATAAAGAGCCACTGCTCAGGACAGGGGTACTAAAAATGACATCAGGCAGCCACCCATACCTCTAGGTACCTAGGGTTCTTTTGGAACAGTGGTCAGAGTGAGTGGGAGATCCACAAGGCCTTAGATTTTTCACAGGCTTTGCATGTAAAAGGAGGAAGTTATGAACTCTCAAGGAACCAGATCCAAGAATGTTTATGTCCCCCTCACTCAGCACCACAAAAGACAGCAGTATTTAACACTCTGAAATCACACAGTTCCACCATGGCTCTGACTCTTCCTAGCTATGTGATCATGGGTAAGGTACTGAATCTCTCTGAGTCTCCATTTCCTCATCTGTAAAATGGGGGAAAATAGCAAGACCTATCTTAAAGGATCACTGTGAAAATAAAAGGTAGTAATGTTTGTAACATGCTTTCCACTTGACCTGCATATGAAATAATTATTGGTTACTATCATCATCATCATTTTGAAACTACAGGACATTTTAGCCCAGGACATTTTAGCAGCCAGGAAGCTGGTACCATAACCTGGAAAAGTACATCTTAAGGTTCGCTCTGGGGTGGGAGCCTTTAGACACCATATCATAATTACCAAAGGAGTCACAGTGAATCCACCTCAGTTTTCACTAAACAGGCTCTGTTTTTTTTTTTTTTTTTAAACTAATACTTACTGGGACCTCTCCTGCTCTTCATCTAATTTCATGCCAGCCAGTCCACTATATTCTTAACTCCCATTTTGTAATTATTACAAGGAGCAGGCATTTAATATAATTAATTTATATATTTATTTTTGGTACTAGGGATTTAATCCAGGGGCACTTTCACTGAGTTACACCCTCAGCCCTTTTATTTTGAGATAGATATTTTAAGTTGCTGAGGGCCTTCCTCACTAAGTTGCTGAGGCTGGCCTCCAACTTGGTATCCTACTGTCTCAGGTACCCAAGTTGCTGGGATTATAGGCATGAGTCATGGTGCCCGGCTCATTTATTTTTTGATGTGGAAAAGGGAATTACTTATTTGTTGATTTTGTCGTGTTGGGGATTGAACCCAGGACCTTGTGCATACTAGGCAAGCAATATACCACTATGCTATATTGCCAGTCAGGGGTAGGCATTTTTTCAGTCCTACTTTAGATATGAGAAAGCTGAAAATTCTCAGAGGGAAGGTGTCTTGCCCATATAGTTTAAAAATGGTGGGGGCAGGAGTCAAACCTGGAATGGTCGGATCCAAAGCTCAGGTTCTTGCTGCTAGGCTGCACTGCCTTAGATTCCACCCAAAGAAGTCAGAGATAAATACTCTGGAGATCACTCATCTCATCTATAGTCCTAAGATCACTCCTCAAAGCACAGAAGAAGGGTACAGCAGAATCAGCTAGAAATCTAGCTCCAGGTGCTTGATTTTATGGTAACTCACACTATTCTTTCATAATGACATTCAGGAAAGGAGGCAAAGTGATATAATGGAGTAGAGATCCTAGCAAAGTCTTAGCTTTGTTTCATTCTAGCTCTGAATTCTACTCTGTCTTGGCCTCAGTTTCCCCTCTATATAACTGGAGTAGTGGAAGCTTAATTTTCTCTTCTTTCTTAGCTAAGGGAATTTATTAGCATTACCAAAAGGAGGTTCAATGTGCATGCACACATGCACTCACACTCTAACCTTAATCCCAGAGAGCCATTCTCTCAATATGGCTGGTGTGAGGCTCTGGCATCCCTACTGAGAAACAATGGACCTCATGATCAGAGGGACCTTTCCCTTTTCACAAACAAATTATCAACAAGATGTGACCACAAAGTAACATGACCAATATTTAACAAAGCTGATCAGATGACCATTGTTTCCTCAGAGATTAAAAGGCTAGATAACTTTAATGGTACAACCATTACGCATAGCTCTAAGAAAATACATGCAGGGTTGGCATGGTTTGTACCAGTTCACTTGAAATCTTCAGTCAAGGATTTTTTCTTTTTTCACAGTGCTGGGAATTAAACCCAAAGTCTTGTGCATATTAGGCAAGCACTCTACCACTGAACTATATCCTCAGCCCCTTTAGTCAGGGATTTCAAGATGCATCTGCATTTATTTATTTATTTGTGTGTGGTGCTGAGGATCAAACTCAGTGCCTCACACATGCTAGGCAAGTGCTCTGCCACTGAGCTACAACCTCAGCCCCAAGATGCATTTGCTTTTTAACAACAGCCAAGTTAATGATCAAAATAATGGGACTGGCACCCGTGGAGTGCTAAACAGAGTTTTTCATTGGATGGAATTTCAGAAATGCTTTGCATAGTGGGAGAACAGCTAGAATTGACACAGCACTCGAAGGTCCCTCCTACAAAGACATGCAAACCCTGATACCAGCTGCTTCTCTGTGGTCCCCCTATCCCTGTTAGCTGCTATTCCCTGGTCCTCTGATCCTCTCTAAGGGAAAGGTTTTAGTTTATTACAAGGTAATGTCAGGAAGACTCCTCAGGTGTCTGTATCTGGAAGGATCAAGTACAATAAGGTGGCCATGTCATTTGGCTCCCCAGTGTCTCCCAGAACACCTGACTCTCTTGGTGAGGTCCATGGGGTATAAACCTAAGTCATTTTTCACAGATATTATCTCAGCTTGTTGGAACTCCACAGTTTGACTTTGAGAACCACTTGTACAATCTGACTTTAAGAACCAACTGTTGACTTTAGTGATGTGGAAAAGGGAACAGGGACCTGAGGGAAGAAGGACAATTATTTGTGGACACATCTGGCTCTTTGTGAAACTCCTGGGCCCCAGAGCAGACCACGTGGCTGAAGGGCAGGCAGATATGCATGGCCTGGACAATAGTAGACCTTCGGTGACAAAGAGGACAGGTTACTCACTGTTTGTTTCTCTTTTTTAAAAGTTGATGACTCATTTTTAAACTTACCACATTTCTCTACAAGCTTCAGGGGGAAAAGGATAAAAATAAGCAGCCAATTCCTTATCATGTTCTTTGATTTTGCAGAACTAGGAAGAAAAAACAAACAGTAAGAGAACATCATGTTAAGGATGAATCAGCTCAGCTTTAGGAAGATGATATGCTCCCACAATCATGGCATGGAATGGCCCATAAAAGGACTTTCACTTCACATTTCTGACTTCATGGGTTTTGCACCACAACCTCAGAGAAGGGGATCCTTCTTTCTATGAAGAAAGAAGAGGACTTATCTTTCTTTGATATATGGGGAAACCAGCTCGGAACAGCTTAGAAGGTTATGTAAAGTCCCACCCTGAGGAAGTGAACACAGACTTTAATTTTTCCCTCTTCAACTGCTTTTTGCAACCTAGTTAACAGAAAGAAAGAATTCAGTTTTATTGTCTTTAGGGTTCTTGCTCCCCCCGCCCCTCCAAAAAAAAAAAAAAAAACAACCCAGTTTCTTCCTCATTTCACAGACTGTCTTGAACACTTGGTCAGCAAAAGTCCTTCATCCCCAAAGGCTGAGACACTCAGCAGGAAGGATTCCAGGAAAGACAAAAAGACACTGATAGATAAATTGATTAAAATGCTTAAAAGTCAGATTGATAATCTAACTATCTAATCTCACTACCACATAGGATTTAAATGATATGAGATGTAAAGCATGAATTCTCGATGGGGGCTACAATTGGTTTCTGGGGATGTTGAAAAAAAAACCAAACAACCCTAAGATAATGCATTGCTTTTTGGTCCTCCCAAGTGCCATAATATATAAACAAGTACAGTTTATCAGCACAATTAAAAATCTGAAGGTGGGAGTGGGTTGACAAGGGTAAACAGATTGAGAAACAATGATGTAAAGCAATTACTACTGTTCCCTAGGGCACCTAGCAAGCTCTCACAAGGGTTCAGCTGTCCTCCCTTCCTTCAGTTTGAGAACCCCAGAGGGCAGGGTCGGGATTTCCTCCTGCTGACTGCCCCGGAGACTAGCACTGGGCAAATTAATAGGAATTCCTGGAACGGTCACCTCAGCGTCTGCCCTCTTCAAGCGATCTGCACACCCAGATTCAAGCGGCAGCGAAGCAGGAGGCGGGGAAGGGGACTGAAGCACTCTAAGGTAGAGTCATCCACACACCATCCCGACAGCCCAGTGTCCCAGGTTCCGCTCACCACCACCCGAGTTCTCCCATCAACGTTAGGTCTGTCCGGTGTCACCAAGCCAGGACTGGTGACAGGAGATGGAACCCAGGCGCGGCTAAGGGGGCTGGATCCGCGGCAGGCTGTCCAGCTGACGTGCTGTGCCAGTCTCTAGGCCTTAGGGGGTCCGCCTGGGAAATGGGAGGCTGTCCAGGTCCTGCCGACTCTCACCTCATAGAGAGCTTCCTAGGCTCCGGGGACCGATCTCACCGTTCGCAGCAACCTCGCGCCAGGTGCCGCTTGGGAAGGTACCCGATTCCCCGGGCCGCTCAGAATTTGTGTGAGGGCGGGCCCAGCTGTCACCTGACTTGAGCCACCTGACTTATGGAGGACAGATCTCCGCGCAAGGCCCTCTGGAAGTTGTAGTTTTTACGTCTCAGCAGGCCAGAGCTGGGCAGGGTTAAGGGGACAGCGAAAGGCCTTGGCAGAGATGGGGGCTCCCGTGTGAAGGAAAGTCAAGCCATTTCTCTCGGAGCCTGCATGGTTTACAGGTGAACTCTGTGCTGCTTCAGGGAGAGAAGCTGGGTCAACGATCCAGTCCCCGAACCTTTGCCCTAAGGGCGGAACCCTCTGGGTCCGTCTGGAGGGCGTGAGAGTCCTCGGCCAATGGGAAGAGAAGAGGCCGCCATGTTGAGTGTGGCTGAAAGACTGGCAGGCGAAGCCCCGCCCCGGCTCCTCCCTCCCGGGTGAAGAGTGAGCCTGGGTTAAGAAACTGGAGCCACCGGGTTACCGCCGCTATGGCCTCTGGGTTGGTTACTCTCGGCATCGACCTGGGCACCACGTCCGTGAAGGTGGCCCTGTTGGAGGCCGCGCCGGGCCACCCGTCCGGGTTCGTGGTACTGGCGAGCTGCGCGCGGGCTTCGCGGGCGGAGGCCGAGAGCGAGGCGGCCGGGCCCCAGGTGAGGCAGCGCCTTGGAGCCGCCGCCTCCGAGAGGCTCCTGACACCCCACTTCTTCAGGAAGGCCTTCCTGGAAGCCCCCTCCCTCAAAGAAGTCTCCCTGACCTCTCCAGCCTGGCTGACATCCGCCTGACTTGTCTGGGCCTCGCTGTCTGCAGCAGCTCTGCAGTCCTGTCCCAGGAGCTTTCCCACCTGTTGGCAACTACCTCCCCACTCTCTGGCAATCTCTGGGGGCCCTGCTTATGGCGCTGGATCTGTGCTTTCTGTCCTCCACTTTCTGACCTGCGAGGAGTCGCTTTCCTGTGTATATGGAATACCCACGGGCGTCCCAGTTTCTCTGGCTGCTCTCTGCTCCTCACCTCTGTCCCGTGCCCTCAAGGTCAGGAATCAGTTTATTGCCTAGGGCAGAGTCTAGGTTGTCCTTTGGAAATCAGACCTACATTTGTAAAAGCAAATGTGAATTTAAATACTCAAAAAAACACTTATCAGCAATAGTCTCCCAGCTCCCAAAGACTGAGACACCTGGAGAAAAGAATTCAGAGCAGTTAGACACTGAAAGACGAGTCTATTAAAATGTTTGTTTTAAAAGGATTAGCTTGATACCTATAAACTACAGCTAATGGCTTGTGGGAGTTACTCGGTAGAAACAGGATAATGGGCTCTGTTGGGATATATAGGTGGGTTAAGAAACTGGATCAAAAAAAAAAAAAAAAAAAGAAACTGGATCAGTCAGTCCTTAGAACTGGATCCTGTTCAAACTGGCCACAGTGGCACTTGCTTGTAATCCTCAGGGGGCCAGCCTCAGAAATTTGGCCAGACCTTGTTTAAAAATAAAAATAAAAAAGACTTGGGGGTGATGTTCAGTGGTAGAGCACTTGCTTAGCAGGCATAAGGCCCTGAGTTCAATCCCCAGCACTATAAAAACAAACAACAACAAACACCCACAAATAGATAATATCCCTCACCCCCCCCAAAAAAACCCAAAACAAACCAAACTGGATCTTGTCCATTTCCTGAAAAAGTTAGCTTTATGTCTAGTCAATTGACAGTAGAAATTACTATCAAGGAGCTTTTCTGTCTAACCTCTGACTTTTTTTCCGTGCCTCAGCTTGTTCTCTGAATTGAAATAAGTGACCTCTTCGGTGCCTTCCAGCCAGAAACCTCAATTTTCTGAGCCAAGCCCCATCCCCAAGAGCTTTGTTTTTCATAAGCTCTTGCTTGCCGCATTTCAGAGGGTAAAGGATTTCAGGAGCACTTTGTGTTTTTATAGGGGCTTTCAAAACTAGCTTGGTTGGGGTAGCAGAGTGTTTTAGAATGATCATTTTACTTCATGGACTACGAAATAGAGGCAAAGTTGGCTCTGATCCTGTGGGAGTGGACAGTGAAGTTGGGATTGCAGGAAAGGGGTTCAGGGGTGCCATTTCCTCTTGAAATAGGGCCACTTGTTAAAAACCTTTCCCTTTTCCCACAGCATTCAGCAGGCTGTTCTCTGCATACAGGCAAACCCAGCAGGTTGTACCTGTTCAGTGAGGCACTTGGGGGAGGGGTCCATAGTAGCACCCTCCATACATCCTCCACATATGAGCTGTGCTCTGAGAAAAACTGCATTGCTGGGATTTTGTCTACAGCAGGTTTTTCAACCATGGCATGTGGACATTTTGGGCTGAATAATTCTTTGTTTTGAGAACAGTCCTATGTATTTAGAATGTGTAGTAGCATTCTGGTCTCAACTCTCTAGATGCTAGTAGCACTTCCCCCCTCCCATTGCGACAACCAAAAATGTCTTCCCATTGCCAGTTGTCCCCAGGGAACCAAAATCACCCCTGAGTGAGAACCACCAATCTATAGCAACATCTGATGGCTGTATTTTTTTTTTTGTGTGTGTGGGGGTACATTTTTCTTTCAGTACTGGGAATTTAAACCAGGGGTGGCCTACCACTGAGCTATACACACATCTCCTTTTTTTTGGGTACCAGGGATTGAACTCAGAGGCACTCGACCACTGAGCCACCCTAGCCCTATTTTGTATTTTATTAGAGACAGGGTCTCACTGAATTGCTTAGCAAGCCTCGTTAAATTGCTCAGGTTGGTTTTGAACTTGCGATCATCCTGCTTCCACCTCCCACCACACCTGGGCTTACAGGTGTGTGCCACCACACCCGGCCCTACCCCCGTCCCTTTTTATTTTTTATTTTGAGACAGGGCCTTGCTAGGTTGCCCAGGCTGACCTCAAACTTGCAATCCTGCCTCAGCCTCCAGAGTTGCTAGGATTGCAGGCACGTGCCACTGCCTGGCATGTCTGTACTGTTTTACTCATCACTAAGTACTGTGTATAACAAGGTCAAACTTGGCAGCTATGTGGTGAAGATCAGGATTTTAGGTATTAACAATTTAAAACACAAGTATTATTATTATTATTACTACTACTACTACTACTACTACTACTTGAAATTGAACCCAGGGGCTCTCTACCACTGAAATACAACCTCTATCCTGGGATGATATACCATCTGATGGCCATGTGGGGACTCTTTAAAGGAAAACGGATGAAATTAATTTTAATTACATAATTACAACCCCTTTTGTTTTTCATTTTGAGATAGTTGCTAAGTTGCTGAGAGTCTCCATAAATTGTTGAGGCTGGCCTTGAACTTGTGATCCTCCTTCCTTAGCCTTCCTAGTGGCTAAGATCACAGGTGTGTGCCACCACACCCAGTCAAAATACAGAGATTCTGGCTGGGGCTGTAGCTCAGCGGCATGTGTGCCTAGCATGTGTGAGGCAATGGGTTCAATCCTCAGCACCACATAAAAATAAACGAATAAAATAAAGGCATTCTGTCTATCTACAACTACAAAAAATTTTTTAAAATTTATTTATTTTTCCTCTGGACTTCAGGCTCTTCAGAAGGGGTGTGTGTGTCTGAATAAGTTTCTAAGTCCTTGCATTTATCTGGGCATGGTGGCTCATGTCTAATCCCAGCCATGGAGGATTGTTAAATTCTGTGAGACCCTGTCTCACAAAAAGAAAAAAAAAAAAAAAAACAAAAACAAAAATTAAAAGGGCTGAGGGTGTAGCTCAGTGTTAGAGTGTCCTTCTCAGTGTTAAGAGTGTCCTTGGATTAGATTAAATTCCCAGTATAGAAAAAAAAAAGTTTTAGGATTTAATGTGGACGTGGACAGATTGATATTCTGAACCAAGAAATGGGGGCAAAGGCTTTTCCATTATACTTTGGGTGTGTCCATTGTCTATCCAAGGGCTACCCCCAGAGCACACTCACCCCTAAAACTGGAACTGCAGAACACTGTCTCCTTGTGTTGATCCCATCCAGCCTGTTTCCCTCCTCCACTGTTTCCACCCTCACAACTCACCCACCCTGGACCCATTTTAAACAGTGGCTTCTCTATCTTGGGATGATGTACCATCTGATGGCCATGTGGGGACTCTTTAAACCAGCACTGCCTAATAGAAATGTGAGTCACAAATGTTAGCCATGTTGGGTAATTTTCAGTTCTTGAGTAGTCTGGTTAAAAGAGATAAAAGGAAAACCGATGAAATTAATTTTAATTACATATTTTATGTAACTAATGTGTGTAATATATTTGACGTGTAATAATCAATAGAAATTTATTAATGAGATATCATGCATTCTTTTCTTCACGATGACTCTGCAATTTAGTGTGTATTTTATACCTATAACAGATCTCAATTCAGACAAACCACATGTGGCTAATGGCTGCCCTCTTGAACAGTGTAGGACTAAACAAATGTCTCTTTCCTGCTCCTTCCTTCCTCTTCCCCCTTTGCTCTTTTGCTTCCTCATTGGGGATCATGCAGAGCCATGGTCCTCCTCTGTGTCCCACTGTCTTTCACTTCTCTGCCAGTTGCCTGTTGTCCCTTCCATATACAAAGGATCCTTGTTAGGATCTGGGGCTGTGCCTCAGGAAAATGCTTTGTGTTCCCTCTCTACTCCTTCCCCCATCCTACTCCTCCTTGACTTCCTTCTTTGTTCTTTGTTCATCTTTATTAGGGGCCAAAAACTGCCCCTGACCAAGGTCAGCAGGTTTGTTCCAAGGAGGGGAAGGCTGCACTCCCTGGAGGGACCTGAGGGGCTTAAGGTCTTTGGATGCTTTTCCAAAATCATAGACTTTTTCAGCTGCCCAAAGAACTGATATTTATTGAAAGCTGAGTCACATTTCTCTTCCCTTTCTCTGAACTTTCCATGGATCCTTCCAGTTGTTAAATATAAGTTAATTTTGTGACTTGAGGTAATTTTTGTGTGCCAGAAACAGTTTATTTTTAGTGAGATAAAAATATTCAATTTATAAAATTTGGAACACTATTTCTTAAATTTTTAAATTT